CCTCTTTGGATAAACCTGGACCAGTTTTAGACTTTCCAGCTTCAGCTCCCTCATCTTTAAAGTGAAGGGATTGGACTGAGAGGGTGGGCTTTGGGGTACAAATCCAGTTTCATCTACCTACCATCTGGGTAAACTTGGGCAGATTCCATCACCTCCTTGGACAAACAGGAAGGACCATTTCTAATTCATGGGTTGTTTTAAAGACTTCATAACACGCCGTAGGTCACGTCAGGTGTTTAGTCCATAGCTAATAATTGTAGTCTCTAAATTCCTGTCTGCATTCTGACACAGTGAGAATGTTCAAGGCACTGTATCAGAGAAGGAATTTGCAAGGCAGCGGAACACTGTTTCTTCTGTTAAGATTCTTACATGCTGTGCAAATTTCTCTTTAAAAGAAATGCAAAGCCAATCAGCACATGAAAAGATGCTCTATGTCGCTAAACAACAGGGACAAATCAAATCTACAATGAGATACGGCTTCACACTTATTAGGATAGTTGTGAAAAAGGAGGAATTTCTGACACGTGCCTTGAAGACATTAAGCTAAGAGAAATGACGCTGTCACTAAAAGACAAACAGTGTATAATTCCACTTATATGAGGGACTCAGAGTAGTCAGTTTGGGGTAATGAAAAGTTTTTGGCCATGGGTGACGGTGATGGGTGCTCAACAACGTGAATGTACTTAGTGCCACTGAGCTGTACACTTGAAAATGGTTAAAATGGTAAAATTTTATGTTATGCATATTTTAACATAATAAAATGTTTTTTAAGAAATGTAAAACAATTGCCATAGACCAATTTAAATTTAAGTTTCTTTGGGTGTGGCTTTTGCCAGAGGCTCCTAGAGCTGCAGATAAACATCAACCTGGGTGCTGCCCTGCTTTGTGCTGAAACTGTAGAAACAGCCTGGCTCTGGTCCTTTAATGCCAGTCCCACCAGAGGGAAAGTTCTTGGGTGGGAGCGGTGAACATGCACATCGTGGAGTCAGGCAGACCCTCTCTGTGGAAATCAGCATTTATTTGAAGGTTTTAGTGCCCGATTTAGCTTCAACCAGAAGTGACCTTCTTCACAGGGCCAAAAGAAAAGTGAATTCTTTGATCGTCCATCTGACCCCAAACTGACCTCTTGTGCTTTTCACTTCATTTTAAATCATACTGTTCTGGCCAAAGTGATTCTAACTCCTAGCAGAGAATATTTCACATTTCTACCAACAATTCTGGGCCAATTTCAGATCTGTTCACTTGAATAGCAAGAATAAAGTCTGTGAGTTCTTTTTGGATCCTTCTGATCTCAGGCAGCAGGAAGGGAAGGTGAAGGAAATATTCGTAAGTGGCATCAATCTTTGTCAGGAGATAAGAATTGGAAATTCTTATCACTTCTAAGGTAGAGGAAGATGGGTGTAAGTCCAGAGCAGGGACCACTTTTCCTCAGGTCAGGGTCGGCATCTTCCCGGGAGGGAGGACGTCATTGTCCTCTGCATCATTTGTGATGTGTTTGGCTGCAAGTAACAGCAGATCACCTCCAGCTGGTCTGAACAATAAGGAAAATGCATCCTCTCACATGACAAGAGGTGGGGTGACTGCAGGGTCGGCAGTTCAATGTCATAAGCAAGGCCTTGTGCTCCATCCATCTCTCCACTTCCTGCACGGTCACAAGGCCACACACAGGCCATGGGAGAGAATGCTTTCCGGAACCCACCCCTCAACCCTCAGCCAAGTTCCCTCTTCCATCTCATTGACCTGAATTGCTTTGCATACCAATGCCCAAACCAGGAGTCAGCAAGCTTTTTCTGTAAAGGGCCAGGGCAGTAAATCGTTTTGGCTTTGAGGACATACGTTTCATTGCAACTACTCAGCTTTTGCCAAGAAGCAGCCAGAGGTAATGTACTAACAAACGAGAGTGGCCGCATTCCAGTAAAACTTTATTTAAAAAAAAAAAAACAGGCAGGCTGGATTTGGCCCATCAGCTGTCCTGAAACACGCCACAGATAATTTGTGATTTATAATAACAGTGCTTGTGAGTGGCATATTCTACTCTCTGCTGGCATCTAACAAGGATCTTCGAAGGGTTCTGACTCGCAGCATTGAACATATGATCACCCAAGAGACAGGCAGATTGACAGAACACAGCAAAACTGGGACACCAAATAAAATGAGAAGAAAATTTCAAAGTTTTTATGCCCTAATGAGCATCAGAGTAGACACTAAGGGAAGACATAGAACTTGGTTAAATCTTGTTCGACTTACTTTACAAACTTAACGTTACAAAAATGTTTAGAGTTCACTATAATCCCCTTGAAGCTCCAAATTCCACTCTTTTGAAACTATATTCATATCTCCTTTTTACTTCTCCTCTCTTGAAAGTCAAGACTAAAAAGAACCTTAGCACTCAGTCCAAACCCCTAAATTTTACAGATGAGTGAATGGAGGCTCAGAGAGGGCAAACTACTTTCCCCAGATCACATAGCCACTCAAATTTAAGTGGCTGCCAAAATTAAGACCCAAACCCAGGCTGTGGTAGGTTGTAATGTGGTTCAAAGTATCTGCTGCCCTTCCCAAGAAGTGGATTATACAACTTCCCACAGGAACCACGGGCCTCATGGTGCCTGTCTCTGCAGGTGGAGTACATACCCTACCTCCCTGTCGAACTTGGGGGTAGCCAGGTGATTTGTTACACCCAGGAAATGTGGTGAAGTGGCGTGTGGCACTTCTGATTGTTTTGCCCACCCCGGGCTGCAGAGTGAAGGAGAGAAGCAGCAGTGGCACAGCTGACCCGTGATGGGCGTGTCATGTCAGCAGGAAATAAACCACTGAGATGCGAGGCTGTTTGTTGCCACAGCATAACTGAGCCTGATCCTGACCAATGCATAGGCTTTTTAACTCTGAGCACCGGGATCTTTCTCACCTAGATAGTCTCAGCAGGGCTGCATGGGACTGAGGAGCACGCATTGTAGTGTCAGCCTGTCTGGGTTTGGATTTCACGAGCAATTACAAATCGGAGGTTTGTAGCAACCCTGCACCAAGCACGTCTATTGGCACCAGTTGTCCAACTGCATATGCTCATTTTGTGTCTCTTTGTCACATTTTGGCAATTCTTACAATATTTCAAATTTTTCTTTGTTATTGTATTTGTTACGGTGATCAGTGAACTTTGATGTTACTACTAAGATTCACTGAAGAGGCTCAGAGGATGATTAGCATTTTTTAGCAATAAAGTATTTTTTTATTAAGACATGTGCATTGTTTTTTTTTAGACAGAATGCTATTGCACACTTTGTGGACTACAGTATCGTGCAAATACAACTTTACTGTGCACTGGGAAATCAAAAAATATTGCGTGACTCACTTTATTGCATTGTTTCTTTATTGCTGTGGTCTGGAACCAAACCTGCAATATCTCCAAGGTCTGCCTATAGCAGCTCAACACTGGGTATTATATTCAACATACTCTCTCTCCCTGGCTGACATTTCAGTGACAGTAAGAGGAGGGAGGTGAGGGCTCACTGAGGGTTAGGGTTACAGTTAGGGGTAGGGTTAGGGAGACTATTCCATGTCCTAGCACATGCAAACAATCAACATCCCTCCAAAAGTCACTCTGCAGTGAGCCATGCTAACAACCATCACTGTCCCTGTCCTTGCTACAGGCTGAGGGGGAGGGGCATGAGAGGCTCTAGGAAAGGGGTAAGAGTCAGACTGCTTAGGACTCAAATCCCACCTCTCTTCCTTCCTTCTTATACATCTATAGCTAAGTTACTAACCTCTTTGAGCCTCAGTTTCCACCTCTGGAAAATGGGAATAATAAAAGTGTCCATTTCATGGGGTGAGGTGAAGATTCAATGAACTTATTCATGTAAAAGTGCTCATCATGGTGCCAGGCACAGTGCAGGGGCTCACCAGGTGTCAGGGTCGGTCTTCTTTTCTGGGCAGGACAGACCAATGGCAGCAAGGGCAGAAACAAGTACCAGGAGGTGAGTCATCTTTCAGTGCATGTGAATGAGCCACAGGGATCTGTGTAGCCTTGGCTCCCCACTGCCTTCATGGAAACACCTTCCTGAAATCATAGACTGATTGGCTGGCTGGTGCTGAGCTGGCAGAAAATAAAGCATCATCCCCGAATACACAGCTGGTGTGGATTCCCATGGCCAGCACAGAGCGCCTGGTCTGCTTGCCCCATTGGGGAGTCACTGGACATCCATCAAGGCGAAGGCCAAACTCAGCCTGGGCAGCTGTTCTGGAGCCCAGTGACTTCAGATCAGGGTCACATCCTGTGATGGGAGAAGGCTCAGGTCGGGAGGTCAGGACAGTGGACAGTTCAAAGATGCACTGCGTCCCTTCATGGGAAGAGCTGAACGTGGCAGGGAGCTGCCCATGAAAGGAGCCCTCTCATTCGTGGCATTTTCAACCACATCCTTCTTGCTGTGGTCTGCTGATGGCCGAATTGCCTTAGCAAGGGCCTTAACACTCATCAGATGGGAGACCTACCTGCAGCCAGCTGTGCCTGCTTCCCCTCTGGTCCAGGACACACCTGCCAGGGTCTGGCCAGAGGAGGGCTGGAGAATGATTTGTTGGAGGCAAAGCCCACGAGCCCAGTCTTTGAGATGCTAGCCAATGGCATGTCTGCCCTCAATTTCAGCCTTTCCAGATTAAACCCTTAACATGCAAATCTATCTTGGGAGTAGGAGGATGGAGGGGGACCTGCCAGATGAGTTCATCAGGGTGTCACGCACTCATTGCACTCATGTCGCTCGTTCTTGAGCGCTTTGTGCCAGGCTTGCCTTTCTCCATGTTTGGAAGGTTGGAAGGATGGCATGGGACCAAGACGAAGGAGGGGAAGGGGTGGAAGGTTCACTGGCCATCACTGCTCTGAGCCACGTCCGGAGCTCAGCCTGGAGGCCGGGAGGCGGGTCTAGGACACCTCATTGAAACATCGGTAGTGCTTCCAATCCCAAGGAATGAGAAACAGCCAGACTGTGGCAACCACTGCACAAAAGCCCTTTGAATTTTTTTTTTTTTTCTTCCAAATGTCACCATGAATCAGCAGCACTCACCCCTCAGCTGCTGGGACTGTGTGTTTACTGCCTCCGTCATAGTAAACCTTGAGGTGGGAAAGAAAGACTTGTATTTGGGAAACGCTGTAGGGGTTTATTACTGAGTCAATGGCGAAAGCAACAAGGCTCTGTGACAGAAAACAGTACAGAAATTAGAATATCTTCAGCAAAATAATTGCAAGGCAACATTTCAGGGTAGTTTAATTTCCTACTGCATTTTAATGACCAATATAGAAGATATAAAAATGTCATTTATAGAGAAACTCCAACATTTTGTTTTCCTGGTTATTCTAATAGATCAAATGGGGCATACAATATGATTTTTTAAAAAAATTTTCACCAGACACTGTAATCAATCTTTCATGCTACAGATCTCTGTAGTTAGGGCTTGTCACACACTCCAAATAGACAAGAACAGGAGTTAAGAGGGAAGAAAACTCTGTTCTCTTCCCTTTTGATAACAAGGCAGGGACCCTTTATAAAGGCCAACCTTAGGAATTTTCCCATTCTGTTTAACCAGTTTTTAACTGAAAGTTACAATGTTTTCACTCCCATGCACTAAAGTGGTATTGATGAGAACGTATGAGGGACCTTTGGGGTTTTAGGACGTGGGGGCAGTTTTTTATCTACTAGCTTCACCTGCCTCTGTTTATCACCCAGAACAATGCCAAGCCCTCCAAGTGAGATCAGAAGGCGTGTGCTGGGCAAGGCAGGGAAGCAGGTCCGCCCCGGCTCAGCCTGTGCTCTTGGCATGGGAGGGATGGTGGACCAGGGCTGCCCTCCACCCTGCCCAGATGACAGCCTCCCCACTGCAGGTGCACTGACTCATCTCACATAGCCTCCTCCTCTTCTAAAAGCAGCTGACGTGGCCCCAGCGGGGATGTTTACAGTCGGAGTTTATTTTCTGCTGCCAGTAACATCGCAAATGCAGAATCTGGCTTCTCAGCAAGGACTTCAGGCTTGTCAAACTCGACCACCTGAAAGTCAGAGAAGAAGAACTGAAATTGCCAGACAATAGCCACCCACCATAGAGCCCAAACCCCTGAAGCCTCTGGAGAAGTGACGCCAACGTCCTGCACCTTCCCGTTTTCCATGACCAGGACAAGGTCGCAGTTGAGGACCGTGTTGAGGCGGTGGGCGATGGTCAACACCGTGCAGTCTTTGAAGGCGTCTTTGATGGTGCTCTGAACAAGGGTGTCGGTCTTAGAGTCCATGGAGGCAGTGGCTTCATCAAGGAGAATGATCTGTGGAGGAAAGAACACTGTGAAAGCCACACTAAGCCAAAGCTGTACCTAGAGGGAAACTTATAGCCTTAGCTCTATTCATTAAAGAAGAAGGGCTGAAAAGTAATGAGCTAAGTAGCCACCTCAAAAAGTTAGAAAAAGAACAACAGAATGAAAGTCACATCACACCGTCTTCATCTTCTGCAGAGGGACTTGCTGGAGAAACAAGGTTGTGTGTTCTTTACTCTTCTTTTTATAAGTGGTTTATTCTAATCCTACAAACTAGTAGGAAGACACACCTCATGGGCTTTATCTAGTGCTATCATGTGCTGACATGAGTCAGCATGAGGTACAGTAACAGCACTTGTGTTAGTTTCCTATTGCTGCTATAACAAATTAGTACAACTTAGAGGCTCAAAACAACATAAACTTATCACCCTGCAGTTCTGGAGGGCAGTAGTCCTAAAGGCATGGCATTGTCAGGACTGCACTCTTTTTGAAGGCTCAAGAGAAGAAATGATTTTCTTGCCTTTTCCAGCTTCTAGAGGCTGCCTGCCTTCCTTGGCTCATGGCCCCTTCCTGGCATCGCTCAAACTTCTACTTCCATCATCACATCTTCTCTCTTTCTGACCCTCTTGCCTCCCTCTTATAAAGACTTGTGGTTACACTGGACCTACCAAGGTAATCCAGGATAACCTCCCTATCTCAAGATCCATAACCTAATCACATGTGCAAAGCCCCCTTTTCCCAAGTAAAGTAACACATTCAGAGATTCCGGATATGAGGATGTGGGCATCTTTGCAGGATGGGGGTGGGAGGGGGATATTATTCCTTCTGCTGTGGTGCTGGTTTGCCAGTCAGAGGGCTTGAGCTCAGCTCTAACTCTGCTTGCCCTTGGCTAAATTACTTAACTTCTCCAAGGCTGTTTCCTCGTCTGTACAAGAAGGTTATATCTTACTATGAGTATGAAATGCAAGGGCAGCACATAGACCACTTAGCAGTGTGGGGCGCCACAGTCAGCACTAAATGCATGCTGGCTCCCTTCCCTGCCGTTAGCGCATCCAGAGAACGCGCTGAAAGAACAGAAACTAACAAAATGGCTTCCCTGATGCTAAAGCTGTTTGCTGAGTCATTCTGACTGAAAATTCTTGCCACTTGCTTTTCTCTTTCCTCTGACAAACCCCGACCTCTGCTTCACTTGCCTACATGCATCTGTGCTAAACAGCCCCCAACCTTTCCATGACACTCTCCACTCAGTATACATTCTCTGCCCAGAATAGCTTATCCTTTAACCCAGAAGGTGTGTTCCAGGAAGGTGGTCACAGGCTGAAAGCATCAGAAGAACAGATCCTCTAGAGTTTCTCTGTGATGCCAGGTGGGTTCATCAAAATTAAGAAGAACACAGTGCCCTGGAAAATACCCTGATTATTGTCGCCTTTCAGTTCCATGCGGTTTTTCTATAAAACCTTGGGACACCAATCCCAAGCTGGATGCAGTCTCTAAGGCATTAACCTGCTGTGACTCCCCTCTGCTTGGCAGAGCAATAAAGCTGTTCTCTCCTAATTCTCCCAAAACTCTGCCTCCAAGTCTCAATTTGGCTATCGGGGTATAGAGGCCAGATTTTGGCAACACCATATGATGGGTTACATTTTGATCAGGGTTCATAGAATGGGATTTCTAAAGCAACAGCAACCTCTTCCTTGAAATCAGTAAGCAAGGATGGCTAAGTCACTAAGAAAAATGAGTATAAATTTTACAGTCCCCACGTCCTGGCATGCTGAAGGCCTTCTCTGGGATCCTGGGTACTGTTTATCAGGCCTCAGAATTGTTCAGGGACAAAGGGAAAAAGTTAAGAAGCAGATTTCTCAAACCCAGGCCACTTAGCAGGACAGAGGATACCTAAACAAGACATCCCGGGGAAAGGCCCAGAGGAGGCAGGTGCTGTTGCTGTAAATGGCTGTTATTTTTCAATTTTTACCCTTCACAACTTTGTCTTAAGAGAAAGCAATTGGTTTTTAAATGGCTCAATTGTTCTCTGTTTGCTGAAAGACAAACGCCTGGCTCTAGCTCCCAGATGGAGTGGCGCTGCAGGAAATATCCAAAATTCGACCAATCCACTTTTCCGTGCTGTTTCCTTACTTTTGAATTACGGAGAAGCGCTCGGGCCATACAAAGCAGCTGGCGTTCCCCTACTGAGAAGTTTTCTCCATTTTCTGTGACTTCTGCCTGTAATTTTTCCGGGAGCTTCATTATCTATAAAACAGAGAATGCCGTATTCGCGCTGACGATCTATAAAATTGTCCTGCGTCGTCTGTATTGATTGCCCCCTCCTCTTGCATTTATCAGCTGGCTATATTTTAATATGGAAAAGAAAGTGCAGAATAACAGTCATTTCAATATCGCCAACGGCCACCAGGGAGAGACCAAGGTGCAGGCAGTCATTAATAATTTTAAATCACAGTGTGATTCATAGAACCCCGTAGACACCTTGCCAAAAGAGTACAAATGATGTGCGTATGGCTCGAGAGAATCACAAACACGTGTACGTGGCTTTCAGGATTCCTATTTCCATGGACAAAATAGAAATGAGATGAAAGAGTTTTCTGGTCATCAAGGAAAGGTAAGTCAGGGTCTGACTTGTCCAGCACGACAAGTCCAAGTGGCTTTGGGAGATGCTCATCTTAGTACCAAGTCCTGGGGGAAAAAAATCCCCCCTGGGTTGTACAGGTGTCCACGCTCACTTGCTCACCCCAGCTGCAACTCTCATAGGACAGGGTCCCATCTCACAGCTGGTTCAGTCCACTCAAACCAGCCACACCTGCCATTCCTGGAGCATGCCACGCCCCCTCACCTCCTCAGGATTTGACTGTTTCAGTAAGTAAATGAGGCTGTGGGCGGAGCAGTAGGGCACTTCATCTGCTCTAGAGTCAGATGGACTTGGAGTCAAGCCTCCACTCTGTTACTCACGTGTTACTTCTCTGAGTCTTAATTTCTACATCTCTAAAAGCGGAGGTAGGAGTACACACCTCAGAGGGTTGTAATCAGGACCAACTGAGAGAATGCATGTAGAGCTCTCAACTGAATCATGGCAGTGGCCTAAGGAATATTCTCCATTGTTGCTTTTAATAAGGGGTAAGTTAGGGTTACATTCTACTGATATGCATGGTGCCAATAAACCACTGGCCAAATTTAAACCTGGGCCAGGTATCTGGGGCACTGGGGCTGGGAAACAAACTCATCCCGGACAGCCCCAGAGACCTACTGTGTCTCTCATGAATGTTCTCTCCAGAACCTGCCAGAGCATCTCATCACTGTGACTCTCAAAGGGATCCAGGTTGTACCTGCAGTGAGGGAAAAGAGAGGGGGCTGAATTTCTGAGGACAAGAGAATGGCAGAGCACATTTTCCACAGCATGTCGGGGAGATGTGTGCGATGATGCTGCGGCAACAAAAGCAGTGCTGAGCCCAGGACGACAGTCCACGAAATACCAACCTCAGGCCAAGAGACTGAGGACCCACCACTCCACACTGGGATGGAGCAGAGACCAAGGCGGGAAGACCACCAATCCTGCCAAGAGATAGCATGGAACAACGCACTCAGGAGACACATTTGGTCCTGTGGGGGCCATGTGCAGCAGAGCAGATCTGACCTTGTGCAACTTCTTAGCAGAGAGAGAGGGAGTGAGCAGTTCCATCCGCTGGTGCGTTCACTCTGCCTTCAGAGGCCAAGAGCTCCATCGGCAGCTCTGGGGCCTCGCAGAGGGCGAGCACCTCATGTGCAGGGTGTGAGTCTAGCATTCCCAGACACGGAGTGGGCTTTTCACACAACTCTAAGTACAGCCCCCGACTTCATCTGGTGCTCAATGCAGGAAATGTCCCTCTTGTTAGAGGGGCAGGCGCTGCACAGCGCCAAGTGAGACACTGTGGTTTTCTCCTTGCACCTTGACATCAGATCTTGAGCCCTGCAGGAGTGGCAACCCTACTGGTCTTGGACTTGAGCAGCTTCTGTTCACTCCTTAATGGGAATGAATTGACATACTTCCCAAAGGATGGCTACATACATGGAATAACTATCTGTTTTACTGTGCAAACTGGGGTATTTTGGGGATCAGCCATTGCTAAAACTGATAGGATGCTGGGACACAGGCACAAACCAGGGCTCTCTGGGGCCAACTGGGATGTCTGCTCCCCCTGTGCATAGCATCATGTTTATCTGTAGCGTTGTTAATAAAGGACCAGCCACGATGTGGGAGCTTCACAAAGCTGTTGTTGGTTTGATTTCATTATCCAAAAATAGAAGTGCACAACAATCAAAAACAGCTACCTTACTGTACCTACAAACAGGACGGGATCCTGGGGTATCACGGTCAGCTTGGTTCTGAGGTCTTCCAAACCGACAGTGCAGATATCCACACCATCAATGATGATTGTGCCACTGGCGGGCTCCACCAGACGAAACAAAGCCATTCCCAATGATGACTTTCCTGGGGGCAATAAATGTGAAAACAGCAAATCAAACATCAGTTTGTATTTCATCATATCTGAGTACCTAATCAAGGGAATTTTTAGTGCAATGAAAATGGCTCTGTGGCGATGACTGTGCAGACAGAAACCCCTCACTCTGCAGAGGCGATCGGCTGCCCTCACACTGTCAACCTGCCCATCCCTGCAGGGGCTGTTGGCACCTGACTCATCCTCTGGGCCTCGTTTCACCAGAGTGAGTCTCATTTAATTAATTCAAAAAATTACAGTAAAGAGATTTCAGGGGGAAAACAGCCAATCTGCCACACATACACATCACCCTCTGTTGTGGTTTAGCTAGTGCACCCAGTGGAAATGCGAAGAAAACAACCTGAAAGAAACAGTCAGAACTCATCCTCACCAGAACCCGTTCTGCCGACAATCCCAACCGTCTGCCCACTTTGGATGCTCAAGTTCAGCCCGTCGAGAACAAGAGGGGTGTTGTCTCTGTACCGCATCTGATAGTCTTTGAACGTTATCTCCCCATGGCTGGGCCAGTCGTGGGGACAGGTCCCCACTTTGAGAGGGAGAGTGCATTCAGGAACACAGGTCTGAAAAACAGAATAACAAATGGCAGGCTAATAGTCATTTGCTTTTCCATTCATGTAATTCATTCATTCATTTATTCACGCAGTTCTAGGTACTTGTATTCTTGGCAGTGAACTAGACCAACAAGGACACTGCACTCAAGAAGCTCTCATTGCAGTGGGTAAGTTAGATAATAAACAGGAAAAGAAATGAGAAATGAGGACAGTAAAAACAGTATTGTAATGGAATATGGAACATGTGTGGTGGAAGGGGCAGAGGGAGTAAAAATAACTGAAGGGTTGAGGAAGGCATCTATAAGGATGTGACATTCAAGCTGTGACCTGGAATGCTGCAAAGTTGCCAGCGACAAGAAGATTTGTTCCAGGCAGAACAGACAGCTAGTGCAAAGGCCCTGAGGCCAGAACAAGCTTGGAGACTTTGAGGAATAGAAAGAAATTCATGTGGCTATGGCGTAGTGAGTAGTGGGACAGATAACTATAAGGAGCAGCTCATACAGGGCCTTGTGAGCCTGGACAAGCATCAGTCATGTGACCTTGAAGCTGTGTGACAAATCCAGACCAAGATTTGAGATTTGCAGAATTCAATTAGATACAATTTCATCATCTACAAGAGTTGCCATGGTGTTAGAAGTAGGGAGATGACAATAGTGCAGGATGTCAAATTCAGAGTTACATGGAAAAGGAATTAAGTTCCCAAAGAGCCCAGGAAATGCAAAATCTAATTAAGGAGTAGAGCAACTTGACTGCATTTCGGGACTAACTCCTCCTCTGAATTATAAAGTCTCTGTTAACAAGGAGAAATAGGGCTGCCGTGTTCCCCATTAGGGAGGCTGACCAGCCCAACCTCTGGTCAATAGTCAACCACGATTAGTTGAGAAAATAACTGTATTCCTAGATAGTGAGTATTTTTAACCCCTAGAAGATTTAGAATTAATGATAACAGTATTTAAGAGAAGCAAAATTATAACAGTAATATTTTTAGTTTATGGAATCTGCATATTTGGTGTTTTAAGTATTCATAAAGTTAACAACATTCAGGCTTGTGCTTCTAATTTAAAGTGTATAATTGGATAACTTATATAAATGTGATTTTAAGTTAAAAACTTCCTGTTTGTATACAGCACTGGTATTGTTACGAGAACTGAATGCTCACATATATAAGTTTAATTTATTGGATTTATATAACCTCAGGAAAGTTTGTTAACTCAGATGATCAAGGTACTTAAAAAGGAAATGGAATGCATTAAACTTTAAAATGCAGTTTAAAACCTTTTAAAGTGTTTAATGAAGTTTGTAAACGGGGCCAGATACTATTCAAAGGCCCTTAAGAGTGAATTGACTCAACTTCTCTTCAAAGAACAGCAGGATCTAGAGGTTGAAAATAAAGCTTTTAAAAAAGAAATAGGCTTTTTATTTTTTCAATTCGCAATTTTAGTCCATCAAATATTAATTTCGAGAGACTAAAGTAAGCCACTGAATTCTCTTTTCTGTGTCCAGAAGTTACCCTTGAGGAAATTCTGCTAAAACGGAACCCCTCCCTCAACATCAAGGACTTCAGACTGTATTGTAAATACGGGTTTTAAGAAAAGAGATTGTGGTCCAATTTCAGTTTTGTTTTGTTTTTAAAAAGATCCCTTTCACGTGTAAAAAAAATAAAACGCTGGCCTAAGTTCTGCCAGGGTTAGCTGGTTCCCCCTCTCGCAGGCACTGATTTTCTTACCGAAATGTACTCCCGGAGCAGCTCCACGGAGGTGAACTTGGCCTGGGTCTCGGTGCCAGTGCGCACGCACACCTGGAGCAGTCCGCTCAGCTGCGCAGGGGGGCAAGCGCCGCGGTTAGAGCCCGTCCCGCCTCCAGGGGCCCCTGTGAAGTCCCCTTCCCGCTCACTCAGGACCACACAGAAAGGAGGCCTGCATTCCCAGCCAAGTGCCCAGCTGTAAAGACACTCCTGTTGGGGTGTTTCTGCCTTTAAACACTTCCTTTGTATTTGGAAACAAATGGTAATTATATTTTGCCTGGCACTCCAGATGGTGAGAGTCATCCGCCACAGCACTGACTTCCTGGCTGGAGAGGTGGGGAGCCGCTGTGGAGCAGGAATTCTCCTGGGCCCCCAGAACTGCATGGTGTTCGCCCTTTGCAGCCACCTGGAGGGGTCCCGCCCCTCTATGCACCTCCCCGCTTTACCCCACCTGCAGCCCGGAAGCAGTTAAATCCAATCACCATCACCGCAGATCGTCAGGATGGAAGAAAACCATCCAGTCCACCTGCTCGCTTGGGACATAAGAAAATCCAGGCTTAGACTGGGGCTTGTGGAGGTCACCCACCTGAAGCCAGGCTCCCCCAGCGGCCAATTCTGAGGTTGGGATGCAAGCAGGTTGAATGGCCAAATCCCTGGGACCTGTGAATGTTACCTCACTGAAAAAGGGATCTTTGCGGGTGCAATTAAGGATATTGAGACCAACCTGGATTACCTGGGTGGGCCCTAAATCCAACAAGTGCCTATGTAGGAGACAGAGGAGGAGGAGACACAGAGAAGAGGAGGAGGAGACATGAAGGCGGGGACAGAGGTCCGAGGGATGCAGCTCCAATCCCAGGAACACCCCGGAATGCCCACAGCCACCAGAAGCTGGAGAGACAAGGAACAGATTCTCCCCTAGGCCCTCCAGAGGGAACATGGCCCTACCCACACCTTGATTCTAGACTTCTGGCCCCCAGAACTACAAGAGAACGCATTTCTCTGGTTTTAACCCAGTCGTTTATGGCCATTTATTACAGCAGCCCTGGGAACCTACTCCAGGAGGACCCAAAAAGTCCCAGGAGGGGCTGGGAGAAGCGAGGCACAGAAGAGAAGGGGTGTCCGGAGAGGCTTCACTGCGGGCACCCAAAGCTCGACACTGTCGGGGGCCCCGAGCATCCGCACGGAGCACACCTGAGTTGTCCCGAGGATGCTGGGCTCCATCGCCACTAACTCCCTGCAGGCATCACCGCTGGGGTGGTCCTGCTGAGAGGGCTCCCCGTGCTTGCCGCCCACCTCGGGCTGGAACTGAGCATCTGCCCGCAGCCATGAGGGGCCAACTGGCCTGCCCTGGGGGAGGAGGGTGGGCACCAACAGCACCTGCCTTGACACAAGCCGGGCTAGTGGGCTAGAGGCCGGACCAGGTTTTCCTCACTAGCTGAGCAGTGACTGTGGGCTGGCACGGTTCAGGGGCTGGTTTCCCAGGGTAAATGTGATACCCAAGACTCCACACTCAAGGGGCTTACCTACGAGTGGGCCAGCAGGACGAGACACAGGCAGTTTCAAGGAATGATAAGAATGTCAATTACCCAGGATGTTGTGAAAGCAAGGCTGGGGCTGGGCTGGGGAGTTACCTGCCTTGTGGGGCGGGGGGGTAGGGGGGCAGTGGTTCAGGAAAACTGTGTGTGCCAAAGCATTTACGGTAAGAAGTCTGCCAGGCAAACTCAGGTTCAGAAAGCTCTGGGTAGCAGCAAGTGGCCTTAACAGGAAGGAGGCAGGCTGGGCAGAGCAGGTGGACAAGGTGGAGAACTGTGTGGGTGCAGACCCCCCGAGATCCCCCTTCAGCAGGCCTCCCTTACTGCCCTCCAGCTTCACACACATTTCTCTTTGAGCAGTGGCTCTCGGCTGGCGTGATTATGCCCCCCGGGGACACTGGGCAATGTCTAATTTGTCATGATCTTGGAGGCAGGAGGTTTTACTGGCGACTCCTGGTTAGAGATCAGGGAGGCTACTAACCTCCCAGAACACACAGAACAGCCCCTCCCCAAAAGGATGATCCTGCCCAAGTGTCCACAGCACTGCAGGTGAGAAAGCCTTTCTTAGGATACAGGCTACACCCCTGCCCACGGCTGACAGAGTCCTGCCAAGTCCTCAGAGCTTACTCTCCACCACTCTGCTCAGGCCACAGGAGCTTGAGTCCCCGCCAGTACCAAGCTCCTGCCTGCCCCATCCTCCCCTGGCCCCTCCTTCCTTGGCTCGTTCTTTATCATTCAGGTATCAGCTTGGAAGTCGCCTCCCAGCAGAGGCCTGCCCTGACTATCCGGTCTAATGTGGCTTCCCCGCTGACAGTCACTTCAGTGATTTCTGAAGTCTTCTTATTTGTTTACTTGTGCACTTCTTTCTTCCATCCCACTGTCTATCCCTCGCTATCCCACTAGAGTGTAAGCTCCATGAGGGCAGGGACCTGAACGGCTTGTTCACTACTGAACCCGCAGCAGCTAGCGAGATTCTGGCTCTGGGAGGTGCTCAGTGGACATCTGGTGAATGAATGAATGAACACTGCCCTTGAGAAGGGCATGTGCATATTTTGTTAAGTTCAAGGGTATCAGCTCCAGCGGCTTAGAATTCCCTCGTCAGCACGGTGCTGGCCCCAGGAAGTGCTCATTCTCCTCCGTGATGTTATGTGATGTTACTTTGCACTCACTTTCTCACTTTCTGCTCTGTGGGACTTCAGACCAATTTCTCCTCGACCTAGGGGGTCACCTCTGTTCTCAAGGGAAGCTCTGTCACTTGGATTCTGTGTTCTCCAAAGGGGGTTAACGCTCAAGAAAGCCTCAAAACCACCTGGAGGAGAAGCGTCCCCTAGACCTCGGTGTGTGCCAGCTTCCCAGCCTTACAGGAATGTTCGAAAACAGTCTCATGGAAGGCTGGTGACATCCCCCAAGGGCATGACATCAGTTGAGGAAAGCTGTTTCACTGGGACCAAGTATAGGGGCCCAAGGGGATCTATTTAAAATCATATATGTGACTAGGCGACAGCAAATAAAACCATCCATCAATGAGGGAAACTGCCTATCCAAGGAAAACTCATTTCTCTCAGTTAAGATATGGTCCTAGTCATATATTTTTTTTTCCTCCTCCTTTCCAAAATGCCATTAAAACGCCAGTAGAGAGCTTTCAAAAAGGAATAGCCTTGGGAAGAGACAGCAAGGGGCTGAGGGAGAGAGAGCACTGAATGAAAGGGTTACACATTCTGGAAGATGGAAAGAGGATGGAAGTCTCTTTCAGTAGAATGGAGGCAGAGTGTGCTGTGGGGGCTCCCAGAGCCTTCTGCCACACAGGACTCAGAGAGGTTCCGGGGTAAGAAGGGGCCACAAAGAGATCGACTGATAGGCCATCTTTAGCCGTCTCCTCCTGTTGGACCCATGTTCTCCACTCCCCTCCTCTCTCCCAACCAGAGGTAGCTGGACACTCTCCCTAGCCAACACACACACACACACACACACACACACACACAACAACATACATACACACACACACACAAATAGGGCTCCCAGGATAGTATCCTAGATAAAATCCCTTTAAACCTAGCATTTGGGTGCCTGAAGGCCAGCTCCCTGGCTCTCTCCTGAAGAGAAGCCAGCCTGTGGAAAAGTCCAACACCCTCCCCAACTCGGGAGACACCTGGCAGGACATAGACAAAGGCAGAGGAAACCCTGAAAACCCAATCTAGTTTTCCTCAGCCTTAAATACAAGTGGATCAAGAGACATATGAACAAAACCAATGGTGTGAAAAGAGCAAGAACCAGATAAACAAACAGATAAATAAGCAAACAAAGAGCCTGGAGAAAAAACAGATATCAGTCAAAGAAGAGAGGAGAGTTTAAGAAAGTGGTGGGGCATGAACCTCTAATTAATGTTCTCAGAGAGATTTTAAAATATGTTGCATCTATCTAAAAATGAGCCTTTTCAAAACTCAGAGACTAAGGAATAATTTGTGGAAATTAAGTGTAAGAATATGTGACTGACAAACTTTAAATTCAAAATAGCGGCTGGATGACCAAGTGAAGGAAAACTCTCAGAATAAAGATAAGAATATAGAAACCTTGAGAGGAAAGAAAGGAAACATAGAAGATTGATGCAGGAAGTCCAATATTCAACCCACAGGAGTCACAGAAAAAGAAACCAAAGGGAAAGGAGACTAGGAAATTATCAAGACGAGAAAAAGGAACCGTGGAGGGAAAGGAAAAATGTTTCCAACTTGAAGAGAAGATTATTCTGTCCCCAGCCTTGAACAGAACTAATGGAAACAGAACCCATACTCAGAAACACTGTCCTGGGGTGTCAGAGCCCTGAGGATAAAGACTGCACTGGAAAGGCTTCCAAAGAGAGAAACGTGACGCCTGTATCGAGAAGCAGAGGCAGTCTTAGATGGGTATCAGACCCAGATGACGTGGTTCGAATCCTGGTGCTCACACATGCAGGTGTGTGGTCCTGGCAAGTCTTTCTGGGCCTCAGTCTCCTCACCTGTAGAATGGAGATTATGGTATCCCTACCTCATAGGGTTGTTGTGGCAGATAAATGAGTTAATGCATGTAACGGATTTATAACTGTGCCTAAAATGTCATGTATTTCCCTATTATTATTTCCCTATTTTTGTTATTTTTTGAAAGAAAAACACCTAAGCCACAAAAAAGAAAAGTCAGTAATTATTCACCATGGACACTGTGGCTGCCTCTCCAGCATTACTTTTGCTCTCTCTGTTGTAAGGCAGCTGTGTGACTTTGGGGTGTGATGGGTGTGGCTCCATCTTTCAGCCTAAGCCAATCATCCCAATTACATGAAGTTAGTTCTGGGATGCCTAAATTAATCCAGCAAGAGTAAAGCACAGGGCTTTTGTTCAGTGGCTGGGGCAGGAAATGCTTTCTTCCTGCTATAGCCCCCAGAGGCTGCCAGTTACCACTGTACGATTATGAAGGAAGTCATCACAGGAGGAGGACAAAGAGGGGCCATGATCCAATTGTGCCTGAAGCCCACACAGCCCCCAGACCTTTTAGTGATATGAGCCACTAAGCTCTCTTTCTTGTGTAAACCCATTTGAGTTGGGTTTTCTGTTCTGTCCACCCTCCTGGATACACTCTATGCCAGAGCCTCCAGGCCCAGCCCAACCTTGCACTAGGTGTTACCTGGATGATGTAAGACAATGACAAGCCTTTGGATGAAGCACTGATTGAGGAAAAACTCAGGGTCACCAACAAGGCCACAATGAAGGTGACGATGTTCATGAGGACATCCATTCTTAGAGCAAACCACCTGAGAGCACAGTTGAAGTACAGGAGGTGGCTGCAGTTTTCGTCATTTAGCATCTTAAACCTAAAATGAATAAATCAACAAAACAGGAGATCAGCTTCCACAGACTCAGGACTACTGGAGAAATAGGGCAAGGGGAGTTTTTAATCAAGGGCCAGTGCACACCTACATAGGAGTGCCTTACAAAGATGAGCATGTACCCATAATCTTCAACATCGGCCACCATAGGCATCTCTGATTTGCACATATTTTGCAAAATCCCACATGGCAGTCGAGTATGGTGCTGAGTGGACTCTTTCTGTCTTTCCCAGAAACTGGCAACTGGAACCCACAGCTGAGGACAAACAAGGCTAAGTACCTCACACTCTACCTTCAAAGGACCCCTGCCTTGGAGTCAGCCACCCCTACAAAGGTCCTGTGGAAATGACCATTGGCTCCTTTGATCTATAAAGAGAGTAGGGGGTGGAGGAGATCGCCTTTAGGGAGAATCAATGTTTGTGCTGATAGAGGAAGGAAGGGAGGGTGCTGTATTGGTTCTCCTCCCCAATTCAGAGAAAGAAGAATCAAGGCAATTACTTTTAAAGCTGGAGGTCTCTTCAAGAAGAGAAAGCTGGCATCTTGTATCCCTGCTACGTGTCCACCAAGCCAAAGAGGAGACGGAGCACAGGGCAGAGTGACAGAGATGACACCAACAAGAGATGAGGGCAAGACCCATCCCTGGAGTCCCTCATTCCCCAGATGCATGGAAGGTGGGTCCTGCCCATTACTACAGTTCCTAGAGTTGGGGGCGCACATGGAATTTGGGGTGTGGGGCTGCGGTCTTGATGTGACACTGATCGGCGTGAGGTAAGAGGCTCCACATCATGGGAACGCAGTATGAGGCTGCCATACAGAGCTCACTGGACGACCCAGGCACAGCTTGTCCTTTGGGAGGGCCTGGCAGAGCTGCTAGGGATTTGGATCCTGTTGGGGGCTCTCCCCTGCCACGCACGAAGAGCTGGATCGGCAGAAATGAACAGCAGAGAGGAGAGTGACCCCAGACAGACTGGTCACTGAGGGTGTGTCCTTTCCCACCTCCATCCCCCTGTGCCAGCCTCTGAGAGCCAGGCTCCCAAGCTCAGAGAAAAGGGAGAGGGTGTTTAAGAGAACAGACCAGGGGCTTCCCAATAGTGGTCCTGCCCCTACAATACATACACACAGCCTAGCATGAGCTCTCCAAGTCTTGAGGGGATGGGGGCGGTGAGGCTATGGCTTAGATACATTCAAGACTGAAATTTTAACTGAACTCAGCTAACCATTGACCAGAAGAGACATCAAACACAGTTGCCACAGATGGTTCCCCTAACCTACTGGGAAAGGGGCTTCCTCAGATCAACTGGTAGAAATTATTAGAAAATAATGAAGACCTTTTGATGTTTAAACCCTTAAGGAGTTGAGATTCCTCCCCTGGCTCGTCCTCGGCCACTGCTGCTCCAACTCTTCTAAAACTCAAAAGATTCTGTCTGGAAGCACCTCTGGACACCCTGGCGGGCCCTGCAGCACCCTCTTCCTTTCTGTTTCCACTCTAACTTAGTTTCCCCAGAGCTTAGTTAAAATACTCTTCCAGACACCGTGGTGTCACTATCATGTACCTCTAAAGCCTACAAATTCAACTGACAGCTTAAGCGACTTAGAAGTCATCTGCGGTCTTATCTGTGTGGTTGGTGAGGTTGTGCAGAAACAGAGTCACTGGCTGGGATCACATTGGAATTTGACCTCCAACCTTTTTTTTTCAGTCCTGTAGTATTTTTGGTTGCAAAAGCAATATATGGCAGAAGCCCAAGCCCTCCAGAAAGTTCATGACAGGAAAAAAAGTGTTAAAAGAGGGTAGAGCTCATCAGTCACGTAGGGCTCAGCTCTCCTATAAGATCCTCGTGGAAACCTTGGGGGAGAATCTGCGGGAAGACAAGGCTTGACTCAGTTCTGCCTGTTGTGAGTCGATGAATGACTCCTGACCAGGACCCTGGGGGGTCACGTGCGATGCAGGACTCTTGACAGATGCCGTTCAGGTTAAACCAGTAGCAGGACTAGCTGCTGACTGAACTAAAGACAGGCTGGGATGCCTGGTCCACACTGAGACTGGGTGGCAGGGGCCGGGGAGAGAGAGAGAGAGATGCACTTTGAAGTGTGTATTAGGTTTTTAAGGAAGGAAAGGATGGGGGTGGAAAAAGAACATCTATGTGGCAGAGACTGCTCTAGATTCACCACAATCCATTTTCCTTTCCTCCTCTGGACACAGCTGGACTACATTTCCCAGGCTCCTTTGCAGTTACGTGAGCCCACATGACCGGAATCTGGCCAATGAGTGTGCAGAAATGATGAGTCGCTTCACTGGGGTTGAGGTCCTCCACCCACATTGTTCCATTTATCTCCCAATTAGACCAGAGGATCCTGGAGAAGCCAGGATGGAGAAGCTCCAGATGGAGAGAGACCGTGTACCTGAGTGTGGCGCAGAACCCTCTACCCCTGCCCCATGGGTACTCATTCAGTTGTGACTTGAGGAAGAATAAACGTGTATTGTGTTAAGTCCCTAAAACCTAGAGCTGTTTGTTACTACTGTGAGCCTCCTGTGATTGATACATGGTGATTGTAATGTGATTATGTGGTATTTCAGAAGTTTGGAACTGGAGGATGCCAGAGAAATGTATTTATCTAGTCTCCACATTTTAAAGAGAAGAAAACTGGTCCACCCACGAAGTGAGATGTAATGTGGCCTTTAAAAATTATCCGTACAAGGAATATATAATAATGTGAAAATGCTATTTAAAAATAAAACAAGACAAAAATGATTATAAGTATTTCAGAAATAGAAAAAAAAAGAGAAATGACTGGAAGGCAAACATATGAAAACCTTAACAGGATTTGGGTTGGGGGCCTGTGGGTGACTTTTTTTTTTTTCCCTGTTTTTTCCTATTTTCCTGAATTGAATACATTTTACTTTTAGAGAGAAAAAACAAAATGAATAAAACCCCATTGTGAGGTTGTCACTGGATGAGCTGGAACCTTTGGGAGCTGCAGACATTGAGGAGAAAGGCCTCGTGCCTAAGGGGGCTCCACCTCGGTTCTGCCAGCTCTCCATCCACAGTCCATCCGAGGCCCAGACTCCCCTCCTCAATCGGCACCTCCCGCTGGGGGCCGGCAGGGAGTGGAAGCCCCGGGGCAGGCCCAGCCCAGGACTCACTTGTCCACGCAGTCTTCCCTCTTGTCGTAGGCGTGGATGGTTCCCAGGCCCTGCATGGTGGAGGTGACGTGGGAGAACCAGGGCGACCGGCTGATGTTCTCCACCTTCTTGAGCTCCTGGACTCCTCGGTGGAAAATGCTGCAGGGAAACCAAGAGCGGCCAGGAGGGCCCCAAAGGGGGGTCTCCCAGGGCTCCCCTCGGCACATGCAGATCCAATGACACACTCAAGACAAAATCTAAGGTGGACGGTGTCATCTAACTCATCTCACTAGGGAGGAGGGGTTGGTGCACCACTCTCCTCTGGAGATGGGGTCTCGTATGAGCCATTCCTCCCTGTGGTCTCAGTTCTGAGTGCTTCTCATGGCATGAGTGCCTCACCGTGTGAGACGTGACTCTCCACAGTGCTGGCCCTAAATACAAGCCAACCACGTTTACGCGTCCAACCGAAGGGAAAATGGGAGCCTGGAGTGAGATCCCAGCCCCCCCAGCTCCCAGGGCACACATGAGTGTTCCCAAGGTGACTTCAACCTCAGCCAAGGATGCGGAGTCTGCCTCTCTGCCCATGGGTCCCTATGCCCACCATTCCCACTGTCTGCTGGCATCAGCCACAGACCTGATCCACAAACTGGGAACAACCAAAACCAACCCTGTCATCTTGATTACCCCAACTGCACCTCCTCCTGGATCACTCGCATCTGTCTTCGCATCATTCCCACTCTTGGACTCATCCTTGGCCTCTCCCACCCCCCAGCCCCAGTGGACCATCTCGGAAATGGCTCCCAAAGCCACCTCTCTTTGCTGCCCTGACTGCTATGTCTATTTCTCATCTCTCACTCAGACTCTACATTTTAAGATTCTCTCATCCTGTAGTCCCATCCTGATATTTCTGTGGTTCCATCCACCCTCCACGCTATGGCCAAAGCAATATTTCTAAAACTCGGCTCTGAGTGGGTGAAAACAACCCGGTTTACAGGTGGAGGTGGGTCCAGGATTTGTTGGCTGAATCCTTGCAATATGGGGGTCCTCTTCAAGACTCTCAGTGTCCAGCCCAGGGCTGGAAACATCTGGGAACATGATAAGCATTTTTCTGAGCTTTATGGAAACTCAAAGCTGGTATAATACTGTGTCCCATTGTTCATTTACAAGACACTTACAGTCACCTAGTCTCATTTGATCCTAACAAGAACCCCCCTGGTACATGTGAAGTGTATACTTCTATGATCTCCATTTTAGAGACGAGTAAACTGAAGCTTGCAGCATTTCTCTGCATCACCCAGGTCGTCCACCCAGCTACCTGCTGAGAACCCCAGCCCGCCCAGGCACAGGGAGGAGCCGGGTTTCCTGGAAGCCTGGAACCGACGCTGCCCTCCTGCTTCTCCCCATGCGGAGCAGGCATGGGGACTGCCTGGTGCCATGCAGCCCGAGGCTTTTGAGTGCATCAGTGGTCAGATGGGGCTATTTCCCAAAGGTCAGAGGGACTGACACTGGCCTCCTCTCTCCTCCTGCAGCGGGAATGATGGAGCCCCATGGTTAAGAACGTAACAGCAGCCAGACAGCAACTGTGGTTGCTAGTGTCCCAGCCTGGGACCAGTGCATCTCCCAATCCTAGCCACCGCTCAGCATTGTGTTGAGACTGAAATGCCAGATGTCTGCCACTTAGCATAGCACTCAGTACCACCTGATACGACCTGGTCACTGTGCAGGGAAAACCAAATATGCATAGGTTTCATGGGCTCCTTTTTAAATGCTGCATGGACCTACCGTAAAAGAATGAAGAAGCCTACAGCAAGGCCGGCCAGGACTAAAAGGACAGCAGGAAACACAGCAGTCAATATCACGAGAATAAACAGCACCATGAAAAACTGCTGCAGAAAGTTCTCAGCGTGAAACGGCAGCCTCACGTCTAGCTCGTCCATGTCCTTGGAAAAGCGGTTCATTAGCCTGCCGGTGGGAGTCCTGTCAAAGAAGCTCATCGGGCTCTCCAGGACCTGCGGGCGACAGCGGAGAGTCAGGGCTGAGTGCGCGTTGAGTGACCGCAGGCGGCGCTCTGTGGGGCTGGGATCCTGAGCCCAACAGCTTGTGCCGGGCGACCCTGGGAAGTGAGGATGCTCTCGTCTCTCGTGGCCTCTGTGAATGCCAGTGACTGTGGGAGGGATTCAGCCTCCGCGGAGGATGGAGGGATTTTGTGCCCCAGGGCAATAAAAAGCCAAGTTCCACTGTGTCTTTGTGGGCTGCACCTGTGTGCACGCAGCAGCGGAATGAAGAGGGGGCCCGAGGTGCTCAGGGCTCTCTGGAGCAGGAGAAGCCCTCTGGGGCTGCACACGCCTGCTCCAGGGCAGTGTCCTCGGGGAGACCTTCCTGTCCACCCTCACCTTCACTCCCAGCTCTGCCTGGGCCCGTGACACCCCCACAGCTCCCAGAAGTTTGCCTTCATAGTTGATAATTAGCTACTGGAAGACTCTTCCCAGACTCGACCATGAGCTCCATGAGCACTGTCTGTCCGCTAGCCCAGCTCAGGGTCTGAGGCATCGCAGGTGCTCAGTAACCCCCACTGACTGATAAACGGGCTGTGCAGGCAGCCCCCAGAGTGCGGGTGGGGGTGGGGGAGACTGTACCTTGTCAAACACTCGGTCGTGCAGTGAGGAGGATGCCGTCAGCGTGGTCTTGGTGAAGGCAAAGCCTTTGGTGACCCCAAACAGCAGCATGGACACCATGCTCCCCATGTACACCCACTGGTGCCCCCGCGGCCCGGTGTCCACCGGCACCGTGCCGACCTCGCACGTTCCTGTGTTGCCCTGAGGCCCACACTTCATTTTGGGAGGAAAAACAAGAAGAAGAACCAAGAGTTGATCAACTGTCCAAAGAATGGAAACTTTCCAGACAGTCTTTCCGGGGAGAAGAAACTAAAAACAGGTGCATAATTGTTAAGAGTGAGTTGGGTGGTAAAACCAAATCATGTCCCTGTGAGGGCTTCTGAGCTGTGCCTGGGTCCTCCTGCTGGGCAGCTGTGGCCCCGAGTGGCCCCTAGCTCACGAGGCTCCGCACAGTCAGTGGGGGAAGCAAAGCACACAAGCCAGGCCTGTGTGGAGCAGCCGCTGGGGAGCCCAGAGGTGATGCTGGGCCAGGAACATCACAGAAGCGACAAAGTCTGGATTCCACAGGTGGGCTGAGCAGCCCTCAGGCAGCCCAGACAGGCCAGGGAATCAGGGACCTGCTGGCAGAAGCCACCGGGCCTTTGGGGAGACTTGGGGGCTCTTCTGCACAATGGCTCAGCCCCAGGGCCCCCTTTCAGAGGCCTGGAGACGCTGCAGGGAGGAGGGAGCCTGGGGAACCAAGGGCTCTGGGAGTTTTCATTGGCAGTTTCATGTTTCCCTGAGCTGTGTGCTAAAAGTCAAGATTGCCTTTGGGGAGCAAACAAGCATCTTCCGTCTAAATGCCATTTTGCTGATTACAGCAATAGCGGAAATGTAAACCAGAGGCAGCGGCTGACGGATGAACACTCCTAAAAGCAAAAGCATCCCTGGGGAGCTAATCGACCAAAGGACCAGCTTGAAGAGGAGGCGTCGCTGTGCTGTGGGCTGCGCCCCCAGTGTCTGGGGGTGGGGCAAGCGCATGGGTCAGCTGTCATTGCTGCCGCCCAAGGCACGGGCCTTCTGGGGAAGCACCATATGTAGGGGGAGGCCCCCCTCTGGCTCAAACCTTGGCCTCTCCAAGGAAAGGGCTCTTCATGAGCAAACACAGGTCTGGTGGGGGGCCTTCCAGAGATGGCTCTCTCTCTGCACAGAGCAGACCACCTATTGGCCTCCCCCCTTGGGACTGGCCTCGGGAAAGTGTGCCAAACTCCAGGAGGGCTATAGCTGCCTCTCCCCTGCCTGTGTCTTCCCAGGGCCTCCTTGCTTTGGTTGTCATAGCAACAGAACTGTGCCAAAATGTAATCCTGGAGGATGGGCAGGCAACCCCACAGCATTTCCCGGGGCTCCAGGAAAGCTTTGAAACCATGGGCCAAAAACTGGGAGAGCTTCCAGCAAGCTTGTACAAGAGAAGACTTATCAGTCCTTCCCAGGACGGCCCTGGCCTAGATGAGAGCTTAGGAGGCAGAGAAGACCCGAAGGGCCCTGCAGCACATCCAGGGACTGAGTCTGACTTTTGCATATCCTGTTCCTGCAGAGGGACTCTGGGGAGCAGAGCTGGGTGGAACCCCCTGACACCACACAGTGTCTGTGACAAGATACCAGTTTCAGAGGCAAGAAGGTAGAAATCTGTGTTGGGCTTCCCTGGTCCTCTCCCTCCCCAGCTCCTCCTCAGAGAGGCTGCAAAACTGACCCTATGCTGCACGTGCGCGACTCCAGACACGCTCTGATTGCCTGGCACAATCTGTTTAGCCAACTCTTTAAAATCTGAAGGTGGCACATAAAAATGCCCATGCCCTGCTTGTCTTGCAAAATCAAAGGAGATTTCAGGAGCTGAGCTGTGTAGTGTAAGCAGCTGACCTCAGCCTTGTGGAAGGGGGCTGTGGGAGGCTCATCATGGGGTGTCGGGCGTGTTCAGACTCTCCGTCAGCGACTGACTCAACACTTTCCAGTGCCAAAGGGGAACTCACCTGTGAGCCCTGGTCCAGCCAGAGCCCCAGCCACCAGTTGCTGAAGGCGGAGCTGCCGATCATCAGGAGGAAGAGGGACACCACGAAGAGAGAGAGGAGGTACCCTGCAGAGGAGGGAGAGGTCCAGGGGTTACAGAGGCGAGGGGGCTGCAGTGGGCTCTCCTTCCTCAGGCTCTAACCCTGATGGGAAACTCAAAGCCTGCAGGAAAAGGACCCCCACCCCTGGGAACCACCTTCAAGGCTGACACAACATATCTGGGTGTTGGATCCCTGAACCCCTAACAGGGACGTCTGTTCGACACGCTTGGGAAATAGGTCCAAATTGTCAACCTATTAGAAGAACCACTGTTACGCACTTAATAGAAGTGACTTGGTATTCTTTAAAAGCAACTAAAAACCCAGCCTTGCTGGGGAGAGACAGGGAATGAAACTACAAGGTATGCTTCGCACGGGGAGACGGGACTCTTGCGTTGAAGGCGGGGAACGAGCTGACGGCTCTGTGTGCTCAGAGGTTAGAGTGCGAGGTCTCACCAGAACCAGAGCTGGGTCGTGCTGCTGCTCGCTCAGTTTCAATAAATAGAGTCTGGCAGCTTTAATGGAGATAAAGGATGATTCCATTTAAAAGGCTGTATTATCAGACTTTAGATTTTTAGGGGGAAAAAATAAAAGCTGTAAGAAAGGACCCTCGCATAGAGAAATTGTTAAAGAAACCATAAAACATGAACCCAACTGTTTAAAAAAGAATTTTTTAATGTAAATTAAATCAAGAAACTCGTTGTTTTATACCGAACCTCCAGAAGCCTTAATGTACGTGCGATACGTTTTCCAGGTCACAGTGCCTTCCCGGGGGGACTCCGTCTGGATGAGCTGGTGCAGAGGAGCTGTGGAGACAAACACCAGTCCTGAGGCAGCCCTGGCGGGGCGGGAGCCCCTCCAGCACACCCCCTGCCCCCGCTCAGGGCAGTTACCATCCCTCCTTCCACTCGCCCTATGTTTTCAAATTCTCAACACACTTTTGCTCATTTTATTTATTTATTTATTTATTTAGGTCCTCATTACAGCCCTGTGGGGCAGGTGGCGTTCAGTCTTTTGAGAAATATTTATTAAGCCCTACTAGGTGTTCATCCCTGGGGAGACAGGAGTTGTCTTGATCTAGTTCTCCAAAAGCAGATCCTAAGAGGTGGATGTGAACACATGAAGTTTATGCCAGAACTAACAATAAAGGTGGCTCACCAAGGCAGCGCCCCCTACTGGGCAACAGGAGATTAACCCAGCACAGGGAAATCTCCAGCCAGGGCAGGACTACACATCAGAGGTTTTTCTCACATGCAGTGGGATCTGGGACATTTCTGCACCAACTCCCATTGGCCATTGTGTGAGGGCTCCACCCGGGGCGGCAGGGTGGTTGATTCCCCAGCACTTCCAGCTTGACCCGGGGCTGGCAGCTACCAGAGACACAGGTGTGGAAGCTGGGAGTTGGACTATGTGTGCAGACGTGCTAAGGGCACCCACAGCATCTACTCTGGGGCCAGCCAGAAGGCGTCTACTAGGGAGCTCACACCGTGAGAAGAAACCCAGGGCATCCTCCCAAGTCAGCTGCTGCGTGGACTCCTGATTCCCTCCACAAGGCTGCCCCCCATCCTCTCCACTTTCCAAAGGGGAGGGGGCAATGGCCATCAAGTTCTCATTGAAACACATTTGGAGGTGCAGGGATGCTGGCTAGGAACTCTCAGCAGCCAGGATCAAATGCACGTCTCTTCCCTCCCCTCCCTGGAGAAGCATGCTGTGGTTATACCTGGCTCTTGTAAACAGAGATAAATAGAGCCAGACAAAGAGGCACCCCTGTGCACGGGCTGTCTGCACCCTGCCCCGGCAGAGAAAGCTGTCAGACCTTAAAGGTGCCTCAGTGAAGAGAGCTGCCATTAGCCCCTCTGCCTGGGAACCTACGCGCTTCTTTGCAAACGTTCAGCCTGACTGTCACTCATTGTGTCTCCCTCAGGCTGCAGCACGTACGGGACTCCTCAGGCTGGCAGAGTGGCACCCTGGGGCACAACAGGAACTGTCAGGCCACCTTGGGGCCCAGCCCAGCCAGTTGTGCTGCTGATGCTCTGTTCACCCTTGAGCCACTTTAGAAAGTGCCCTGGTGCTAGCCCTGCAGGCAGTGCCACCTTCAACCCTCCCTTTCCTACAGCTCTCAAAGCATTTAATTTCCCAGGTTCCCTCTTCTCTCCAGAGAAGCAGGATTTACTCTCTTCACAGGACCCCAAATTCTGGGCAGCCTGGAGCTTTCCTGAGAAAGCATGGAAGAGACGGCTGGGTTCCCCACTCCAGCCTTGGCTACCTCCAGAGCAATAAAAATATGTTGTCTTTCCAAATGCGTTTGTCACAAGCACCGTTAATGGCGCCAACTTTCATCTATGGGAAGACTCACTTTTTTTTTTTTTTCACATTTTAACATCTCTGAAATCAGGATGCACCCCATTTGGTAGTACGCCATATTGTCTGATTGGCAGAGGCTATTCTTTCTAAGCAGTACATGAAATAAAACTGATCTTAAAATGGATGGCATCTTAAAGTTGTTGAAATATACTAAGGTGTTCTTTCAGCTACACGTGATTGAGGGACCTTGCTGTGGGGACTTGGAGGAAGGTGCATTTTGAGCCCTGACTTCTCAGTGCCCAGCGCGGGACAGTGCACCCAGTAGGCGCTCAACAAATGTTGAATGGACGAAGGGACAGAGGCAACAGTATATACAGAGAAGAGGCAGCTTGACTAGCCTGACCCTCGCTAGGCTCATCTTTCACATCTGTCCTCTTTGCTCAGACCCAATATCTTCTCCTTTCCCCATCTTGTCACCACAGTGTCTCTGGCAAACTCTTATGTATACTTAAAGAATCAGTCCAAAGGTCACCTCCTCAGTGAAGCCCTCCCTGCCTTGTTACTCCCATCCCAGCTTCCCATTAGCCTTATTAGTTTCCCATGATTAGCCACTTGCCTGTGGCCCCCACCAGATGAAAAATCCTGAGGATGGGGCATATTTTCTTTCTCTCCCCAGTCTCCCCAGCCCAGCTTCGTGCTTGGCACATAGTAGAATGCTGAGTCCTTACTTGTGGAAGGAATGAATGACCTTATCCCACCTATCCCACGACTGCTCAATTCTTTCTCAGTGCTCCCCCAGAAAGAGTGGGGAACATCTCTCCTGTGTGCTTTTGCCTCTGATTAATCTCTGTGCATTGCCTTGATCTTTGCAACTAATAATGACAGTGATGACTACTGAGGGTTGCTGTATGTCAAGCATTGTGCTATTCATTGTATGTACAGTTTCTCACGAAATCATTGCAAGAACCTATGAGATTGGTACTATTATTTCCCCATTTTATGGATTAAGAATATAAGGTTCAGAGTGGCCAAATATCTTGCTCTGAAGTCATAAAACTGGTGATTGAGACAGAATTTGGACTCAGGGAGTTGAACCCCAAAGCTCACATTACAGTAAACCAGATAATGCTAGCTGCCCGAAAGGACACACACTATGCCTATGCTTCTTTATCCCTAAAAGTAGGTGCTCAATACATATTTCAAAGTATGTAATTGAAGGCATGAACAGTAAATACCTTCTGTGTCTACGAATTCTGATTCTGTTTCAGGTTCTTTTCCTTCCTTTTCCTCATCTCCTGGAGCCACAACTAGGGTGAGAAATAAAGAGAGATCTGTGTCCACTCGTGAGCCATGGGTAATAAGAGAGGTGTGATTCGAACTCTGATTGTACCAGCGTCTTCCTCTCTCTCGGCAGGGCTCTCCTTGAGGGCTTCCACCATGGCTGCGTTGTAAATGTGCTCAGGATCCTGGAGACAAAATGAAATTTCTTCTGAAATCCAGGTGACTGAACTTCAGGCCAGAAATCACGGGGGAAGGCTCCCAGTGTCCTGCACCCAGGTAGGAAGAGTTACCCTGAATTGCAACCCTCGCAGGCTGTGAATCAGTTTTGCATAGCGTCCTCTCTCCTCCATCAACTCTTTGTGGGTTCCCTTTTCACAAATCTCTCCGTCTTCCAACAAGATGACTTCATCACAAGACTCCAAGAACTGCAGAGAGAGTAAAACCATCCACCATGAACTTCTGCCCTGGTAAGAGGGAGAAGCGCCATGCCAGCCCCCCATCCAGTGGCATCCCAGGCTCATCTAGACCAGAGGTTTTCAGTTGACATTGAGGGCCAGATGATTCTTTGTTGGGGGATGGTGGGGGGCCGACCTGTGCATCGTGGGATATTTAGCAGCCTCCCTCTCTTCCACCCACCAGGTTGTGACAAGCAAAAGTGTTCCCAGACATTGCCCAGTGCCCGCCAGGAGGCCACAGGGCCCCCAGCTGAGAAGCGCCCACGGGTCTCATGAGTACCAAAGGGGTCTTTGGTTGTCACTGTGAACCAAACTGACTCTTCCTCTGCTATTGCTCCCTGCATGCGCTGCCTCGCGGAGAAATCGGGTCACAGAGGTTTGGAGGATGAAATTGACCAAGTCACCACAGCTGAGATTTGGCGGAGAGGGGATGTATGATCTCAGGGATGGCCTCCCTCTGTTACGACGTTACCAGCCCACCTCGTCATCCTCATCTAGCCCAGGAGACCCAGCCCATGGTGCGCTCCCCGGCCACCGGGCCACCCCACCTGGCCTGAAGAGTTCACACCAGCTTTGTCTGTATGATAAAAATATCGCTGCATTTAACCATAGCACCCTGCGTTCTGCCCAAAGCGCTTCTGTTTTTCTAATTTGAGTTCCCTTCATTTCCATATCACGCCTGTGATCAAAGAGCTGCTAAGAAGAATCTCCTTTCATTTTGGAATGAGACTGAGCTCTCCCCACAGGATCAGCCCATCTAAGGGCAGAAAGCCCTTCCTAGAGGTGGACAAGCTATTCTGAGATTTAAGACCGTTCAGCCTAGACAGCCTGGACCCTTGCAATACAGTGGAGAGGTCTTCCCCTGTGCTTTAGGGTCCCCCCAAGGTCAAATCTACCTTTGACGCTCTTGATTAAAAGCCGGAAAGAAGTAGCTACATTTGGTCATTGTGCATCTGATGGGGTGTTGGGTAGGGAGAGGGTGGTGCCCAAAAAGCCAAATGTTAGCAGTCTTGCTTGGCTTTGGACAGCTCCAGCCTTTCTGCCTCCTTTGGACCAAGCTGCCCAGTTTCCTGTCCACTTTCCCGAACAGCCGATGCAGGAGCAGCCTGGCTTTTACGTGCAGTTGAGACACTTTCTGAGAGCCTTTTTCCTGAAAATCGTCTCTCACCTCTGCCCAGCATCTTCTAACTTTTAAAGCCTGATCTCATCTCCTATTTCTCAATCTCCCACAAGCCAGTCAAGAAAGGAGGCAGCATTATCATTGGCCCATTTCCCAGATGGGGAAACTGAAGCATGGGTGTGGGGGCTCTCATTCCAGCCCCAGAAGCTCCCGAGGAGGCCCCAGTTCTCTCCAGTGAGACTAGGTGTGATCTGAGAAGCTTTGTTCTGCAAACTCAGAAAATCTGACCCTGGCTTGGATTTCAGCAGCCGGCTACCAGCCTCATTGCATTTGTTTCCTCCAGTAATAGAAGAGCAGCCATCCAGCCCAAGCGCTGGGAAGCATTCAGATGGCCTGTGGGCCCTAAAGTACAAGCAGCCAGAAAAATGCTCTGGAAAAGCCCAGGGGCTCCAGGTCCGGGTCTCTGAGCCCCTCCTCCTCAACAGTGGACAACCGGACTGAGATTCTAGCGCCATCTGGTGGCTGCCTACATTTTTCAACATGCTAAAAGTAAGATAAAATGACCTTGGAAAAGTAGTCTTTGAGGAGACTGAGGACTCCTGGGTTCTTGCCTGAGGTCACATTGCTGGTGAGCAGGGTTCAAAGGTTGGACCAGGGCCAAGGCCACATTCTCCCCCTTGAGGACTCCTGCATGGGACAGCTCCGACCCACATCCATCAGGTGTCAGGAGTCTCCCTCTGCATCTCCAGGACTCCAGGAGGACAGGCCTCCCCCCTGCACGTGGTCTCCAGGGACTGGACCCCGGGTGATGCAGAGCTGTGGCCATCACATTTAGTGGCCTGGCTGGGTGAGAGCCCGTTCCCTGTCACCTCGTCGGGGCCCAGAAGAAATCCAACCTCCTCCTTCACCCTGGCCCCTGACCGGCTGAGGAACCAGGAACCCTTGTCTGCACCAGCCCATCTGATGCTTCCTCAAGGTGATGGTGCCCACTCAGAGGAAACCCAAGCAATCCCCGCATGCAAAATCCAGATGCTTGGAGCTTATTCTGAGAACTCAAGCCCTCAGCTAAGAGGGGCAGAGGCTGGGGACAGAGCCACAGCGATGGGAAAGCCTGATTTTCCTGAGTCTTGAAGAAACTTTTCCCTCTTTAAGCTGGTCCTTCTAGCCACTGACAGAGGATCCTAAAGATGCTGGCTAAAGCATCCTGTAGCCATGGCAACTTCATTTGCTGCCGGCTTCCCTGCCTCCCCGCGATTGACTTACCCTTTGCAAGACCATGAGACCTGCTTCTTACCCCTTGTTTAACATTTTCCCCACAGGTGGCAGGAGAGGCGGGAAGACAGGACTTCTGCTCTCTCTGCTCTATCTGACTTCTCATTACAGGTGAGTCCTGTGGGCTCTCTCTTCCAGCAGGAGGTGCACACGCATGTTCACACACACATGCACACCTCTGGGACTCACTGTATATGATGGGGGTACCCTGGCTTATCTCAGGGTGGATCGGGGACTTGGATTCCCACCAGGCATTCAGAACCCTTTATGTGAGACTAATGCAGTGAGAACTGTCCTCACCCTGCCAAATTCTCAAGCTCATTCAGGGCACGCTCAGTCAGTCCCTTTCCAGGGCAGGATTCGTGTTCCAAAGCCCAAGAGATTGGCTCTCAGCAGGGAGAAGCTTCTTGCCTTAGCCCCAAAGTCCTGGCCTCCAGCCCCTTCCCCCTGGGGAGTGATGCCAGGGGCATCTGGGCCCCTCATCAAAGGGTCTGTCATCCCCAGCCATCCCCCACTCAGACACCCTTGGTCTCAGGCCTGCCCAGCACTTGCTGGAGGAAGTGTTGCTCTGAACGTTTCTACCTGATTTCCCATCTCATGGCCATCAGTGGTCCGAGCTGGAGGATGTGCCCCGTGTCCACCCTACAAGTAGGAGTCAGCTGCTTCTGGAGAATTTACACACTGATGGAGGAAACATCTTGGCCCCACTGAGCCCAAAGGTAGGACAGTGGGGGCTGTGCACAGAGAGGAGCAGGCAGGGCTACGTGCAAGCCAGGGTGGCGGGGGACAATCACAGAGTCTCCTGCACACCCTCCTCCTTCTCTGACCTGGTCCAGGTGAGAACAGCAGGTTTAGACAGAAGACTGTGAGCATCAGTTGCCACACCCATTTAACGACCTCATGGGTCCTGCTGGTCCCAGTTACCTGCAGCTGGTGGGTCACCAGGACGACGGTCTTCCCCCTGAGCGCCTTCTTAATGCACTCCTCAAAGACGTGCTTCCCCACGTGGGCGTCCACGGCCGACAAGGGGTCATCCAGCAGGTAGATCTCATGGTTCGAGTAGACGGCACGGGCCAGGCTGATCCTCTGCCTCTGCCCCCCAGACAGGTTGAGGCCCCGCTCCCCGATCTGCAGACAGGGGCAGGGCTACTGTCCATCACCAGGCCACATCCCCCACCCCGCAGCCCTTGGGGAACAGGGGCTTCCTGAAGCTTCTCAAGATTCTTCTGAAGACTGCTCTTCACCACATCCCAGCTCCTCCACCCCTTGCTGGACCCCCCTGGCCGCACCAGGTACCCTGGAAAGTGGAAGATTCCACCTCCGCAGGAGGCTTGGTGGGCGGTGGCAACTAGCAAAAAGCTCCTTCCAATGCTGAGTGAGGGGTACCTGGCTCACAGCAGCCCCATCCCAGTGCAATCCCATAGGGAGGGGCTCTGTCTTGACCACTAACTCCAAAGGGCATTGTTGAGCAGAAAGCACTGGGCGAGAGGACAGGGAACAGGAGGGAGAGGTGGCTGGGAGCAGATGGACAAGGGAGCTCTCTATTTATTGACCTGTGGACCCACTCCCCACCCCCACTAGGCAACACTAAGCTCCATGAAGATGAGAGACAGATCTACCTTGTTCATCGTCACATCCCTAAGCCATGTCACCACACCTGGCCCAGAGCAGGTGCTCAGTGAGCATTTATTGACAGGATGAAAAGCCTAGGTTGCCTCCTGCAAGTGAGTCTATCCAGATGAGCCCAGAGTGAGCCTCCGTTGTGCTCTGCCAGGTGTTGGGCTGAGCGCTGGGCAGGACACACGAAGCTGGACAAGAAAGATCCCTGTCTACTGGGAGCTCACGTGTGAGCAGAGCGTGTGTGGTTAGATATACAGCTAGTAACGGCACAAGGCAGAATTTAACAAGTGCCAACGGAGAAGCATAAACCAAGTACTTTGGGGCACATTACTGAGGACTGTGGGACTCGGGAAGGTCTTCCTCAAGGGGGTGGATTTACAGTTGGAACCTGAAGGGTGGTAACTGGCAAGAGCAGAGGTCTAGAGCCTGGAGGGTGAGTGCACACCTCGGCAGGTGGGTAGGGGTGGGGAAAGCAAACCCTGACAGGGTGACCAGGGCTGCCATGGCTGTGGTGGCCGTTCCCTTGACACAGGCACATTGAGGCACCAGCAGAGAACAACAGTGCTCTGAACTGGCCTGTGCTGTCTGGGCTCCTCTGGGTCCTGGGCAGGGTGGGAAGACTGCAGAGGGTGCCCTGGACTGCAGCTACAGAAGGTGGCCTGGTGACTCGCCTGGGCCACCAGAGCTGGCCAGCTCAGCCCAGGACCCAGCCAGCTCTTTAAAAGAACACTCCAGGGGCAATGTTTGCAGATGGCTCATACACTGCTGGGCAGGCAGAGCCAGTGAGGCAAGAGGGGCTCTTGAGCCTCCAGCCACAGTGCTGCACCGCTGACCTCTGTCTTGGGAAGACAGAGCCGGCCAGCGAGGTGAGGAAGCAGGTCTCACCAGAAACCTTCTCCGAGATGACAGGCAAATTGGGAGTGACCCCAGGAGTCACCAGGCTGAACCCAACACAAGTAGAATTAGTGCCCCATCCATTGTGATGTCCACCCAAGAAAGGACCCATGTAGAGAATTCAGAGTGGTAGAGCCTGACTTTTCCCACATTTCCTGGGACCTTTCTGTCCTCCGGGGCACCTGGATGTGGATGGAGCGGGGACCTGCCGAGCTTCAGCCTGTTGGACCTGGCGGTGGGGCTGCCATGCACGGCAGTGGGGCTGAGCTTCTGGCTCTGCTCACCTCGGTCAGGTCTCCATAAGGGAGGCTTCTCAGGTCCTCCTGGAGGGCACAGACATGAACTGTGTGCTGATACCTGTGGGCACAAAGCTAGAAGTCAGCACGGCAAGAAAGACCCCACAACCATGCAGCCCTGGGTGGTCCAAAAGGCGTGCTGGTGTCATGGGCAGGCGGGGAGATGGCTGATTGCTTCGTCTTTGATGTCCAAGGGCAGCTTCCCCTTGACCTCTGCCAGCCTAATGCAGAGTTGACTCAGGACAGCCCCTCCCTTCACAGGCTGCCCGCCATTCAAGAAAGATGAAAGCCCTGAAGGGAAAACTGGGGCACCAACTGCTACCACTGCTCATGGGAGTCAGAGCAGGAAGTCACCACTGAGGGCCGGGGTCACTGGGGGAGGCTTCCTGGAAGACGCCACACCATGAATGGACGAGAAGACGTGTGTGGGTGGAGGGACCAGCTGAGGGCTGGTGCTTGTGAATGGTGACTCTGGCATGTGCTCCAGGGTGCTCCTCTGTCCTCTGGTCCCTCCCATCAGGCTGGAGAGGACAGGGTTCTCTCCCCTGGGACAGCTGAGGACACTAAGGCACTGTGCATGCCGCCTAAGGAGCGGAGACACCAAGCGGGAACAGGATGTCAGCTCCTTGGACCTCCCAGCCTCCCGGTATTGCCCCTCAGCGTCACCAACTGTGTAGCTCTGGAGGCCAGTCTGTGGGGAGTCTGATGGGCAAAGCCCCAACCAACTCTCAGTAGCTATGCTGCTGGGTTCTGCAAAGGACAGCAGAGCTGGGGGTCCCCTGATGCACTGGCCATGACCCCAGTGCCACTCCTTGGGGACTTCTGACACCAAGGGGGCCAGGAAGTCAGTAAGTAGTGGATAGGAACTGGGAGATGAACAGGAGAGGTTCCCACACCCTCCTCCTTGGTTTTCCCTGCACCTCGATCCCACTCAGACAGCCTCCGCTACAAACAGGGCATCGCGGTTCCCCACACCGCCGCCTCGGGAACTGGCTCCTGCTCTGTACTCCCTGGGGCACCTGGTAGCAGTTTGAACTTGTGTCACAGCCAAGCAGCCTTGGGGGCCCAGGTTTCCGTCCTCCTTGAAGGGCTGCCTGCCTTCACCGGGTTGATAGTTGACTGACTGATAGAGTAACTGATCTGGTCACCATCATCACCATCATTGGGATCCTGTCTCCTTGATGCATGACAATGGGCCGGCCTCACCCCTGAGGCTTTGCAAGACACACCTTCCCAAGAGGGCACCAGCAAGAGGGTAAGCAGACGGATCACGGGGAGCTGCCCTGCAGGTGGCGCTCCAGGTCCTGGCAGCAGACGCCCTGAGCACCGTGCCCCTGTATGGGCTTTAGGGTCGGTGTGCCTGGTGGTGAAGGCCAACAGCTTTGGAACCAGAACAACCTGGGTTTGAATCCAGCCGGGTAACCTTGGGCAAGGAACTGTGCCTCCCTGATCCTCACTCTCCACTCTATACAGTGAAGCTGATCGCTCTCATTGGGTTGTGAGAAGGAAGTGGGAACACATACACAAAGCCATGAGCACAAGGTCGGGTGCATGCGAATTCTCCATCAGCCGTAGTTACAATTAATGTTATTACCTTTGCCAGTCTTTCACTATGTTCAGCACATCTTCATCCCTTTGCCCCTCCACCCCCATCTTAAACTTCCTTCCCACCCTCCTGTGTCCTTGAGAGCCACAGTGTCCACCCTAGGAGTGGCACCTCTGCTAGAGATGCCACATGCGAAGGGTGATGAGTACATCCTTCAAGACCCGATTCAAGCACCCCCACTCTCCTCCCTCTCATGATCTCTGCTGCCTCTGACATTCTAGCACAGCCTCCTACCCTGGGCACATTCCTCCTTGGCCCATGGTCACTTCCGTGCATCTCTTACAACCCCTTCCAGACTTGAGCATCTCAAAGGCAAAGATCTATCCGAGCCACCCCGTGGTCCTCCGTGGTCCTGCAGAGTCCTGTGTGTTGCAGCTATTTGGTAAATATTTGCTCTCTGATGTCCTCCCTCTAGTCTGCTTCTGCAGAAAGAGAAGCCGTTCCAGGCAGGGCTGGGAGGAGGCCCAGGCAAAGGCAGGCCAGGAGATGCTGAACAGAGCAGTTCAGCTGGTGCCAGGGACTCCCTGCCTGAGCCTCCTGAGGACAGGATGCCGTGGCCAGGGACGAGGAGGGGGAGTAACAGGCCTGCTGGGAACCCATGCGCTGTCTGATGCCAGCCAGTAAGGACAGAGTCTGTGGGCTAAGACAATAAGATGTGAAAGTCCAGAGATGACAGCCAGATTTGTAAAACCAACTCGTTGGTCTTTATTTTAGCATCGTGGCACTTGGTGGGGGTCTTCAGGGCTACTCAGTTGTCAGGTAGTTCCTGAGGGTACAAATGATGCTGACCTGGAGTCCACAACTCGACTCTGCCACTTAATAGCTTTGACCTTGGGCAGGTCGACTCTCCTCTAGGCCTCAGCCTCTTCATCTGTAAAATGGGAACATGAGCCCAGGATCTCCCTAAATGGGTGGTTACAAGATTCTAACGAGAAAACCTACATGGCAGCACACCAAACTCAGCAAAGAACCACGGGAAGCTGTTACATTCTAGAGCGTAGAGATACCGGTCCAAATGTATTTAAAAATTAGAACAAACTTTGTTTTTAATCCATGAGATAATGTTGGGGACATCAACAGTGATACATCCTGATAGCTCTGACGTCAATGAATAATTTTCGGGGCTGATTAATTGCATACCTACTGCTCACGATTTCAAGCAAAAGTTCCGGTTACTTGGTCTAAAGTAAAATTGCCTGATTCATCTTTTTGGACAACATGTGCCCCGTTACAGAGAAGCTCATAACATACGCAGCTCTGTACTCGGGTTGAATGCCGATTCCACTCATTTCTTCAAGTGTGATTGCAGGTCTGCAGGAGGCACCTCTCCTGAACTCTTGGATCAGGGAAAACCAACACCCGTTTGGATCTGATAAATGTTTCCTCAGAACTCATTAACAAAACCCACCGAGCTATCACGACCAATGGCATCAGCCTCTGTAGCAGAGTGTGCCAAATACTAAAGTGCCTCACGCTCTCAAAGTTAATATTACCTTTGGTGATCATACTTTTCTCCAAATAATATGTTTTCTCGCACATTTCCGTGAAAGATCCACGCTTGCTGGGAAACATAGGCCAGAGTCCCGCTGACAGCCACAATCCCTTGTTGTAACTGCATCTGAAGCAACGACACCAGAGAACTTTCAGGAGCCAGACCGCCACCAGCTTCTCCTTGAGGGCCCACTGCACACTTGCCACCCACTTATTCCAAGAGCACTAATTGTGAAGGTGTGAGAGGGTGATGAGATGTCTTGTCCACCTACTGCAAAGACTAACTGTGCAGCCCGAGGGTCTCAAAGTCAGACATCCGTGAGAGGTGGGGCAGGAACATTACAGAAGGGGCCACCGTGAGCCTTGCTTGCCAGAGGGCCCAGTCTGCAGGGCTGCTACTGGCCCACACGCCTTCGTGCAGCTAAAACAAGATGTCCACTGAGGGGACCTGTCACAAAGCTTCCCTTCTCCAGGCCTCCAGGTGCAGTGGCTGGACCCCGCCCTCTGCAGCTGGGCCCCCGGGAGTGGCCACCTCCACCTTCCCAGGGATGGTGGCCCCAGCGTGCCCCATCCTAAAGAAGCAACCTTGACTTCATTGCACAGTTGGTGCCAAGCAAGGACACAGGCCTGATGCAGCCATAGTTTCTAACTTTTCAGGAGGAGTGGAAAGTTTCCTTTCTTGCAGAACTTCTGAACTTTCAGAACATCAAGGAATCTGATTAGGAGACATGCACGGGCGCCAGTCTGTGACCGGGAGTACACAAGCTCATTTCAGATGGCCCTCGCGGTGAGCCTCAACAGATAACGGGAGATGCTAGCAGTGATGCCGTGTGCATAGCTATCAGGAGGGGGGCAGTGTGAGGCTGGCCGTGGTGCTCAGGGAGAGTGCTCATCAGGCAGTGGCAGTGTGCTGGGGACAGGGAAGGAGGATAGCCGCAGTGGCCAAGAGATGTGACTCCACTTCTTTTCAGGAATGGTCCAAGGGACGGAGAGCATTAGACTCGGAGGAGGGAGAACAGTCATAGCAATGACGGCAATACCAATGATAACGGCTAAAATGAACGGGTCTGCGTCAGGCACTGGGTTACGTGCACATAAAATGTTGGTCACTGTGGCCGGTGCCGGGAATTGTCCTGTAACCACCATTATATACGTTATCTCATTTAATCCTCAGCATGAGCATCCTTAGCCCCATTTTACAGATGAGCAAGCCAGGGCTCAGAGAGGTTAAGTTACTAGTCCACGGTTAAACAGTGAACAGGAGGCAGAGACGGGTGGTGAGCCCAGGCAGTCCACAGCCCACTCACCTACCCACCCTGCCACCCTGCCTCCCCAGTGACCACGTGAGGGGCCCAATCCCACCACCCGACATAGGAGATGAATTCTGTTTCTGCCAGGGCATGTTCCAAAGGAGCAGGCCAAAGGGGAAAAGTTAAACAGAGACAAATTTTGCTGCCATATACATCAAAACTCTCCAAAGAGGGAACTGGTATGAGATAATGAGTTCCCATCACTGGAGGTATCTGAGCAGAGGTTGGCTCATCTCTTACAGGATGCGGTGGAGCAGATTCACGTTATTGAGTGGAGAATTGGGCTGGGTCACCTGTATCACACCTGCTGCCTCTAGGGTTGTCACAGAGGCACCCCTAGAGCATGAGGGGTCCCAGCAGCTCACCTGACTCAGCCCCCACCTCCGCCTTCAAACAAAGAAGGAGTTGTCACCCCTTCTACAAACTGAGGTAAGAAGTGACCTGGGTCTGGTGGGACTCTTCTCAGCCTGGCATCCCCCTCTCTCTACTGCAGGCAAAGGTGGTCCCAGGTGCCCAGCCTTCTCTTTGGGAACATAGAGTGGGGAGAAGGAGGACTTAATGTTTTTTTCCCAGAGTATTTCTCATTCATTTGGGATGAGAAGACATGTCAATTGGGAACAATTCATTTACTGTGGATACAGTGAACAGCTTGGACACTTTCCTGGGGGCACACGGCTAGAAGCAGCAGACAAGGGACAAGAACCCCAAGGTCTCCCCTCTTCCTACTGCGAGGTGTGCTGTGGTTCTGCATTCAGTCAGCCTCTCCTCCTTCGAGGAAGCCTTGCCTGAGCAGCTGCTGTGGGCAGACACTGGGGACGCGGAGATGGATCTAAAGTCACTGCGAGTCGCAGGCTCCTGGGTCCTTCTCCATCAAGCTGCCTGGCTGGCTCTTCTAATCAGCACAGCCCAAGCATGTCATGGGAAAGCCATGGACTTAATGACCCGTCTTTTCCTTTGACCAGGATGGAGCTCCGGGCAAGGGAGCTGTCGCCACTTAACTCACATCATCAGCAGGTAAACCCGAGGTGCGTGAAAGGCCCAGCCCCGCCTGCCCAGGGGCCTGGAGCTGCCAAGCGCATTGACCTGGAAATCACTGTGAACTGTGTGCATGGCATCCAGTGCGGCTGAGCCCAGGGCCCCAGACACGGCAGGCAGGGAACCACTCCATTGTCACATCCAGGTTCCATCTTCACAGCTTACCTGTCCTAGGAGAGCGGCAATGAGGGAGCTCTTCCCACTGCCAATGTTACCGCAGATTCCCAAGACCTTCCCCTACCAGGGAAACAGAAAAAAGACACGGTCGTTCTCCCGGTTCTTAGAGGGTCACCCCCACACTGTGCTGGCCAAGGCCAGGCAGGGACCGATGGCTCACATCCCAGCCCCAATACACAGCCCGGGCAGATGCAGGAGCCCAAGTCTTAATTAAGCGCTTCCCCCTGTGCAGCGCAGCGGAGCGTCTGGAGGGCTTCTAGGAATCATGTCTGAGCACTGGTGTGAAGCTGCCTTGAGCTGGTCTGGGACACACAGGCCCTGAACATGAGGCTTGTACTGTCTGTGCCCAGACTCCAGGAAAGCACATCTAATGGAAGTTAAAGGCCACACGACCCAGAGGGACAATGAGGATAATGACAGCCTCAAAGCACAGAGGGCAGGGTGCTTTTTAAAAGTCACTTTAAAAGCATCCTTCCGCCATAGCAGCTCGGTCTGAAATGACTGAGTAGCTATGCTGCTCCGCCACGTTGGGTTCACGGATTATTCTACAGTGGCAGGTGTATTCGTTCACTCTAACAAGTGAATGACATTCTAACATTGTAACGAATCGTCGTTAGAGCCTGCTCTGTGCCAGGTGCTGTTCTCAACACCAGCCACAGCACGACACAGCGAGGAGCACAGCAGACACAAGACTGGATCTGTCCTCACGGGGCTTATGTTTCACTTGGGGAGACAGTAAACAAGATTAGTGAGTAAAATACAAAGTATGTCAGATGCACGCCAGGAAATAAAGCAGAGAGGAGATGGGGGTGGAGAGTCTCACTGGAAGAGTGGATGCCTTAGCTTGAGTTCTCGCGCAAGAGGCTCCGAAGCAAGGAACTGAGTGAGAAGAGCTGTTTGGGAGGTGCAGGAGACGCTGGCTGGGGAGAGGGGGATGGTACAGGGGAGGGAAGGCGGCCCGTCATGGGTGTGCTGTTAGCTCAGCTCCCGCAGGAGGCAAAGCAAGCTCGACGCTCCTGGGAAATTCAACGGATCTGGGAAACTGAGTGTGCCTTTATCCTCCCAGTGGCTAAAGGAGTCGGGGTAAATAGCCAACAGTCAGTGTTGGAGAGTTGTTCCCTCAGCTGTTGACATCTTAGCCCTTTGAGGACGGTGGGGAAGGACCCTCGGGCACACAGATGCTCATGTGGCAGTTGGAAGATGATCAGGACACACGGATGGGTCACTGACAAGATCTGCTACAGGTGATGTTCAAGTAAGCCCTGGAGGAGGCGAGGGAGTGAGCTGTGTAGGGGAGCCACTGCAAGCAGACCAGCAGTCCATGCACACTGTGAAGTGGCCACCTGCCCACTCTTGCGTTCAAGCAGATATTGTAATGCTGCTGTTGGAACAGCTAAGAACATTCTCATTAAGACCTGCTCCCAGTGATCCCTTAGAGCAAAGATGCCCAGCATGGGGCCAAATATGGCTCCTTTCCCACCATGAGCTAGGCCGGAAGGGCCCATCGCCTGCCTGCCACCCCTAGCACATGAGGGTTGCGGCCTGTCCCTGGGATAAGTCATTACTGAACACCAGGTGCCACGCTGGGCCCTGGGGATAAAGCAGTGATCAAGGCAGATATAGTCCCTGCCTTACTGTCACTGGAGCTATGGGAAAGTGAAGCTGACCCGTTTTAACTCCACCAAAAGGACCACAAGGAAAGGGGCATTATGGAGACTTTGGGACAAAGAGACCACAGGGATGGATTCAGCCTCATCTGCCTTGTTGGGAATATAGAGTTTTCGTGTTTCAGGAACAAGCCCATCTCCACATAGGGAAAGGCCACGGCCCAAACTTGGTTTTACAACGCAAACTGCCTTTAACTTAAAACTGACTCTCGGAAACATGCCGTGAAATGTGGGGAAATTGTTGTTAGAGAGTCCCTTCAACTTGAGCCTCGCTGAGTGAAACCTCCTGCACATGTTCCATTCTGGGGTCTGAAGGTGTGGGGAAGATTTCCTTCATCTGACTTGTTGGGAACACAGAGTTTTTGTGTTTGGAGAACAAGCCTATCTCCATACAGGGAAAGGCTTTGGACTTTGTTGAGTCCTGTCCACTACTTGTGGCCAGATCTGAGCCTTCCAGATTCACCCTTGTCTTCATCCGGAAATCCACAAGGCCTGCCCCTCTGAGTTTCTGATTGTTCATTTGCTCATTCCAAAAACATTACTGGGAACCTACTCTGTGCCTAGCTCTGGGCTCAGTGTAAAGCCACAACTGTGAACCAGAGGGATATGTGCCCTGACCTCAAGGAGGCTGTAGTCTAATGGAATCATGGTACTCAATTTGGAAAAACATGGATGCCTTGAATTCAGGACATTTAAGGGCAGCACTTAAGCTGGACATGACTGTTAGAGGGAAAGGCCACAACAATAGCTCACCTCCACGGGGACTTATTGATGGCTTAGCATTTGTGTGTGATGTCTCTTTCAGTCCTCACACCCACCTTGTGAAGTGGGCACTATTATTAAAGTATCCATGGAGCAGGTGAAGAAACAAGATTCAAGAAGTTAAACAATACTGTCAAGGTCATGCAGCTGGTGGGTGGCTGGGACCAGAACCCAGGTCCCCCAGGCTCCAGAGGCAGAGCCTTAATCCCCACGACACTATGCTGTCCCTAATGTCTTCACCTGATTTTACAGAACATTGATCATGTCCTTAATGATAAATCAGGAGTCACCAATGTACTGAAAAGGCGGAAGGCAACTGCAGGGCTAACCGGCAGCTTCTTTACAACACGAGAGTCGTTCACTGAGGCCCCTCTGAAGCATCTCTGAAGGCATGGTTGCAGTAACCCGGGTGCTGTTCGTCACAGGCAGGGGAAAGTGTTGAGAAAGCAAGTTGGCTGCATGCAGTGGGACTGAACCGAGAGCCGAGCTCGACTGCACTCAGCCGACTGAATGTCTCTTCCAGTGAATATGTGCAGACAGCCTTGTTAGCTACAAGAGGCACCGCTCTACACCAGCTCTTGAGCTTAGCATCACATTAACACACAAGCACCTCTCCTCCTGTAGTGCTCACTCGCATGGGGAAAGGGTGAGTCAACAAGATGGGAGATTAAAATATTAGGCACAAGATGAATGCTGAACCCTCTGCAACAAAATCAACACCACCACCCCCAGAAAGCTGCTGCCGAGTCCCCAGGGCAAGAAAACCACGTGCAAGAGAGGGTCAAACGTTCCCCAAAGGCAGGGCTTCTCTAAGACTCTGTCCTCTGATCCCCGATCCTGAGGGGAGGGGAGCAGCCAGCAGACGTGGCTGGCTTCCTTCGCTGGGCTGCTTGCTGCTCCTGTTTTGCTGTTTATAAGAGCAGCGTCTCATGGCGGTCAGGAGCACAGAGTCTGGGGCCGGGCGCCCTGGGTGTGAAACCCTCTTCTGCTACTTGCGAGCTGTGCAGCTTGGGTGAGTTATTTAACCTCCAGGTTCCTCAAGCATAAGGTGGGGTAACTATAGTACCCCCCCCATACAGTTATCAGGGTGGTTAGATGAATTAATTAGGGGCCTGGAAAATGGAAAGTGTTCATCGTTGTCAGCTATTATAATCCATCACAGGACTCTGATGTGAAACTAAGAACCAATCTGAAAAGATGTATGAAAGCTAGCCAGTTTGGGTCCAGCCACCTGAAACGGAATGTCCATGCAGCGCCACACCTGGCTCTCAGCTGCCCTGGAATTTGAAGATCAGCACTAGTACAACCCCTGAGACAACCACATTCTCTCAGCTTGAAGACAGGTCTCCATTGCTCATGCACAGGGTTTGACAATTTGGAGAGAAAAGCAGCCTGGTGAGAGACAACCCGCCACCACCTCCTGCTCAAACTGAGTTACATTGAGCCTTGAGAAAGCCGTGGCTGGGGGACACAAGGAGGAAGGATGGAGGCTGCACCTTCGGGACACGTACCCACCTTTCTCACCACAAAGCTTATATTGTGCAGAACCGATTTGGGGCTGCCATGTTGCTCCTCTGGGTCAGTGACTCCCTGGGCTGATGGACTCAAACTGTATGCTTCTGGCCTTTGTTTCTGGAGAAAATTCTTTTTCTGATTCTGCACTTTGTTTAGATCACTTTTCCTGCTGGCTTCTTGCTCCCACGTCAAGGTGGCATTTGCTAAAAGCAAGACAGTATCTGGGTCTTCTGGTTGGGTGACGTAAGATGGGGGGCTTTTAGCAATGAGAATTTTCTAAGATTAAAGAAACAAAATTAACTGGGCAGACGTCATCCATTTGCAAGAATCGTCCCAATATATCCTCTAACGACCCAAAATGAAACTCTCGGCAATTTTACCCGAGACACCTAGGAAAGATGTTCTGAAGATATTTCCCCAGGAGAAGCTGCAGCAAAAATAGTGTACTTGCTCGTACTATCTAGGGCAGATGCCTCCTTAACCACAGGATCTATCTGGGTCACCCGCATTGGAGAATGCTGGTCCCGGCTACATTTCACCCTCACGTGCTGTGGTGTCAGTTATAACTTCTCCTTTTTCATTTCTGATTATTGATTCTCTCTTTTTTTCTTGAGGAATCTGGCTAAAGGCTTATTAATTTTGTTTACCTTTCCAAAAATCAGCTCTTAGTTTCCTTGATCTTTTCTATTGTTTTCTTTCTTAGTCTCTATTTCATTTACTTCTGCTCTGATCTTTATGATTTTTTTTCCTTCTATTAACTTTGGGTTTTGTCTGTTCTTCTTTTTCTAGTTTTTTTAAGTGTCAAGTTAGGTTGTTTATTTGCAACTTTTTTGTTTGTTTGTTTCCTGAGGCAAGCTTGTATCACTATAAACTTCCCTCTTCAAAATGCTTTTACTTTTGCTGTGCCCCATACATTTTGGATCGTTGCGTTTTCATTTTCACTTATCTCCAGGTATTTTTAAATTTCTTCTTTGATTTCTGCAGTGATCCATTGTTACTCAGTAGCATACTGTTTCGCCTCCATGTGTTTGAGGTTTTTTTTACAGTTTTTATCTTGTAGTTGATTTCTAATCTCATACCCTTGTGGTCAAAAAAGATGATATGATTTCAATTTTTAAAAATTTATTGAGGTTTGTTTTGTAGCCTACTATGTGATCTATCATGGAGGTTGTTCCACGCGCACTTGGAAAGAATGTATATTCTGCTGCTTTTGGATGAAACATTATATGTTTATACACACACACACACACAAACATACATACATAAAATCATCTGGTTTAATGTGACATTTAAGGCCTGTGTTTCCTTATTCACTTTCTGTCTGGGTGGTCGGTCCATTGATATAAGTGGGATGTTAACATCCCCCACTATTATTGTGTTACTGACAATTTCTCCCTTTAAATCTGTTAATATTTGCTTTATGTATTTAAATGCTTCTATGTTGGGTGTATATGTATTTATAGTTGTTATATCTTCTTTGATTGATACCTTGATCACTCTGTAATGCCCTTTGTCTCTTATAACAGTTCTGTTTTAAAGTCTATTTTGTCTGATATAAGTATTGCTACCCCACCCTTTTTTTGATTTACATTTGCATAGGATGGCTTTTTCCATGACCTCACTTTCAGTCTGTGTGTGTCTTTAGATCTGAAGTGAGTCTCTTGTAGGCTGCATATATGTGGGTCTTGTTTTTGTATTCATTTATTCGCTCCATGTCTTTTGGTTGGAGCATTTAGTCCATTTACATTTAAAGTAACTATGGGTAGTTATGTACTTATTGCCATTTTGTTAATTGTTTGGGGATCGGTTTTGCAGTTGTTTTTGCTCCTTTCTTCTTTCACTCTCTTCCTTTGTGATTTGATGACTCTCTTTAGTGTTATGTATGGACTCCGTTCACTTTGTGTATGTATCTATTACAGATGTTTGGTTTGTGGTTACCATGAGGTTTATATATAGCAATCTCTATATTTATATGTGATTATTTTAAGTTGCTGATGTCTTAATTTCAAATGCATCTTAACAACCCTGCAGCTTTATTCTCCTCCCTTCATGATTCTTGAAAATATATTTTACATCTATTTGTTCTGTGTATCCTTTAACTGTTTATTGTGGATATAGATGATTTTACCACTTTCGTCTTTTTTAATCTTCCTACTAACTTTGTACATGGTTGATTTACTACCTTTACCCTTTATTGTACATTTGCCCTTGCCAATGAGTTTTCTTCCTTTTGTAATTTTCATGTTTCTAGTTGTGGCCTTTTCTTTTTCACTTAGAGAAGTACCTTTAATCTTTTTTGTTACACTGGTTTGATGGTTTTAGCTTTTGCTTGTCTATAAAACTTTTTTAAAAAAATTTTTAAGCAGGGGAGGTAATTAGGTAATGCATGAACCCAGGACTTCATGCATGCTAAGCATGTGCTCTACCACTTGAGCTATACCCTCTCCCCTTGTAAAACTTTTTATCTCCCCATCAAATCTGAATTAGAGCCTTGCTGTGTAGAGTATTCCTGCTTATAGATTTTTCCCTTTCATCACTCTAAATATATTGTGCCACTCCCTTTAGCCTGAGGAGTTTCTGCTGAAAAGTCAGCCGATAGCCTTATGGGAGTTCCCTCGTATGTAACTTGTTGTTTTTGATATTCTCTCTTTGTCTTTAATTTTTGCCGTTTTAATTACATTGTGCCTTGGTGCAGTCCTCCAGATGATCCTGTTTGGGACTCACACAATAAATCTTTGATGAATGAATAAATGAATAAAGTGACTAAATGAGTGTATAAACGTGGCACCCCCACCATTTTCCTCATCACTTCTATCACCACACCCATCCTGGGACAAACTAGGTAAGCAAAGGGGGGATGGCTCCGTGCAGACCAAACCAAACCCCACTCCTGGACCAACTTAAGATTGGAGAAACAGTTGACGATCAGGAACATCCTCTTCCTGAGTGGAGATTCCATCTCATTTTTACTAAAAGAGCAGACCATCTAATAACACTCTGCCTGTATCCTGCTTTATGTAGCAACACTGAACAGAGGGCCTGCTCCCAACATTCACCAAACCAGTGACCCACACCTCCAATAGGTTGACACAGCCTCCCCTTATCTGAGAATTTTCCCACCCCAAAAGGAGATCTCTCTTCCCTACTCACCCAGTGTTAGTTATACCTTCATCCTCGTTAGAGAGACATTGGCTTCGGCCGCTGCTTTGACCGAGAAAGGCAAGATTGCAATTGAAAACTTCATTACATTAAACATGGCAATCACACTAAATGCCTGAAGAACAAAAGAAAGGTATAGAGTTTAGGATGGGATGTTGTCTTAACTTTGAACCATTAAATCCATGGGGATTAAACTTGCTGAGATGAGAAACAGTAGCACAGTTGGGATTCTCTGAGGAACAATTTTCTCATTTCATGGCTCAGAAATCATGGGTTGGCAAATTAAAGATATCAACATCTTAATCTGTTTTGCCTTTGGACTTTCACCAAAATGGTAGGAAATTTAGCCCCCTGTTCTGTCAATCAAGAGGGGATAAGGTCCGAAGAAGGCCTCAAATTGAGTGCATTTGGAAATCTCCATCCATACCACACCCTTATTTGGTTGAGATCATTTGCTCAAACCCTGTGTAGATTACCCTAAATCATCCTCTTCTCTCCATTGTTTCAGAGGCATCTGATCCTTCAGAGACAGAGTAACCTTCTCCACAACACACACAGCCCAGGGTTACAGATGGAAGCTCCCAGGAAGGACATGCCTGGCCCAGGCTGGCTGCTGGTTCTCCTGCCCCCAGGGTCTGGCCTCCATGCCCTGCCTCCACACACACACAAAGGACTGATTTGAGAGCCTTTGTCCCACTGCCATTTCCAAAAAATCACACCCCGCCCCCACACATTCCCTAGGGCCTGCCCCACTGAGCCAGGCCTGATGGGTGCCTAATATCATGTAGCCTCAATGAAGACAAGTTTCCTCACTCTGTGGATACCCCAGGGGGGGATGATCTCGTCTCTCAAATTTTATCTTCTTATCTGTCCAACTTTTAATTAGCGGCCTCTCCCTAGTTACCTGTGTAAGAAATTAATAACACAATTTCCATTGACAAATCCAGAGTGACCCTTCCTGCTGTTGAATGGGCCCCATGGACAGGGCCCCAGGCTTCAACTAATCCAAGTTACTTCATTAAGAGGATGATGAAGGATGCTCCTTTCATCACTTCTGGTCCTAAATAGATCCCCAAAGAGACCTCAGCTCCTCCAGCCCCCAAAGCACTATCCTGGCTCAGGAAACTCAGGCCTTGGTTGGCAGAACACCTGGGGTTGCCTGAAGAGACAGTGCCTCAGGGCTGACCTCCTACTGACGTGGCTCTGGCAGAAGAGGAGACCGCGAGGGATGCTGAGGCTAATGAAACACAAGCCTTGCAGTCAGGGAATTTGTTCTTGGTCTAGATTTCTTCTAAATCATCATCTTAGAAAATATTAACCATGTGCATTCAGTTTGGTTTCAAATTAACTTGCTTGGTGTGTTCTGGGGAAAAATTTTTGTTTTGGGTTTGGGATCATGGACGGCAGTCATGGAAATTGGGGAGCATCTGTTCAGGATTCAGTGCCTCGATCATTACCATTCATTCTGGCTTTGGGTTCGTGGCTTGGTTGAAGCCCCTAGAGTGTGAGAGAGTAAACTGTGTATGAAGAAACTAAGAAAATAATAGTACCTCGCAAAGAAACACGGGGCAGTAACAGGATTGACAGCCCCACAAAGGATGCCCCAGAAGAACATCCTGCCTTCTCAAACTTCTCCCCACTCCCCTCCAGGTCCCTGATATTTGGTGTAATTCCTCTCCTGTGAGCATCCTTCTCCCCTTGTTTGTTTCATCCTCTCTTTGTCTCATTTTTTTCTTGCCTTTGTTGTCTTTCCTCCAACCACTTACCCTCAGACACTGGTTTAATATCTGAGCTGTTTGCTTTATTTCAGTCAGGGGCCATTACCCCTCTAACTCAGGTTTCTGTAAAAAACCTGAGCACCTCATGTTCCTCCCAAGTCTCCCTCTGAGTCTTTCAACCCCAAAATGCCTGGCCTGGGTGAGCATCAGGCTAATGAAAACAGCAAACACTTACGCAGCACTTACTGCGTACCAGGCGCTGTCCCATGTACTCTGTGTAAAAGACCTTCTTCAGTCCCCACAACCACAGGGACTGTCATCACCCCATTTACAGATAATAAAACCTAGGCAAGAGAGGTTCACTGAATTTGCCATAAGTCATCACTAGCCAGTAGTGGAATCAGGACTTAAACAAGGGGGACTCTGATCCAGGCACCACACTGCCTCTCCCAGCGCTGACAACTCCTCCCACCCAGAGAATGTCCACAGGCTCTCCTCTATATGAATAAACATGAATAAAATAGCCAAGAGCTCCTTTGGTATCAGTTTGGTTTTCCAAATTTAAATTGTGTTCCAACGTTCACTACCACCCCGGCCCTGCTGTAGATGGGATAGGAAATGGTGCCAAGCTCTTGTTGGCTCCCTGTTATCCCAAGTACTGGTGCTAAAAGTTGGGGTGGAACTCAGGCATTGCCCGGCCCACTGTGCACAGGTGTTCTGAGGCCAGTGCTGGGCAGAGGAGGGGAGGAGCTTCCCACCTGGTAAGGCCAGAGCTGGGTGCAGGGCAGGCGAGTGCTGGAGAACTGCTTACCACTGGAGCGGTTAGCTTGCGTCTCAGGAGGATGTGGCAGGTGAATGTCAGCACAATGGCTATGGTGGATGCAATGGGGGCCAGCGCTGAGTTTCCACTTTGGACAAATCCAGCTTTTTCCAGTAATTTCCTTTCCCTCTTCCTTATACCTGTGAAATAGAAACAGCCCACACTGGTCTTATTTTGCATGACAAGTACGTACCAACATTAAAAAAAAAAAGGTATTTTCAATGGAATATTACTCAGCCATAAAAAAGAATGAAATATTCACAGCAACATGGCTGGACCTAGAGATTACTAAGTGAAGTAAGTCAGATAGAGAAAGACAAATATTATATCACTTATATATGGAATCTAAAAAATAGTACAAATTAATCTACACAAAACAGAAACAGACTCACGAACATAGAAAACAAACTTATGGTTACCAAAGGGGAAGGCGAGGGAAGGACAAATTAGGAGTTTGGGATTACAAATACACACTATTATATTATATATAGTAATAAAATAGATAAACAACAAGGACTTACTGTATAGCACAGGGAACTATATTCAATTTCTTATAATAACATTTAATGGAAAAGAATTTGGAAAAAAAAGTATGTATATGTACAACTGAATCACTTTGCTGTACCTGAAACTACCATTGTATATCAACTACACTTCAATTAAAAAAAATCTTGATTAGAAAAGTAGATAAGCAACAAAGATTTACTATATAACACAGGGAACTATGTTCAATATCTCATAATAAACTATAATGGAAAAGAATCTCCAAAGAATATATATATGAATCACTCTGCTATACATCTGAAACTAACACAATATTGTAAATCAACTGAACTTCAATTAAAAACACAAGAAACATATTACTCCTGCCAGATCCTCCTTCAAATGAGTGCTAAGGGCCCCTGTTGTGAAGTTTAAATGAGAGGACGCACAGACAGCCCCGAGCAGTATGCCAGCATGTACTGGGGGCTCAGGGCACATCAACTGCCGTGGTTGGGTGGTTTCCAAGGTGCCTTCTGATCTGATTCTCTGTGTCCAGAGTCATACTCTCAGATGCCCACAGGGGTCAAGCAAGTCATGTAAATGAAGGGACGGGGCAGAGAGCAAGACCAGAGTGAGGATGTCCTAGGGCCTCAACGGTTCTCAAGTCTGAGATCTGGAATTTTGTGGGCCATCTCCCTACTTTTAAACATTGGGAACTAATTGGAAAAGTTAAAGTACTGTAGGGGTCAAACAAAACACATATGGCAGCCTGAATGCTGCCAGATTGAGGCCCCTGCCCTGCATCTCAGGAACAGCAACAAAAACCCGTAAGTCCATATGAGGCCCCTGACTCTGCACCGCTCACAAATAAAATTCAGGCTTCCCTCCCCTGGTGTTTAAAGTCCTCAACGGCAATTCCAGCTTCCTCCACAAAAACCCTGCCACATTAGCAACATGGCACCATAGCCGTTCTCACTGAGTGCTGACTTCGCCCAGCTGTCCCGCTGAGCACTGCATTCTCTCATCAGACTGCTCTCACCACTGCGTGACAAGGGAGAAGCTATCGCTATGCCCTTTTGACAGCAGAGGAAGGTCTTACCGGGTTAAGTGACTTGCCTCTTAGGTGGTTGAGGCAGAATTAGAACCCGGTTCTACTGGGATCCAGAGCTTGCTCTCCACATGCCCTTCCCCTCGAGAACATTGGTCACCCCCTACTCCCCCAGCACAGCCCACATCTTCACCTCTAGGCCTTGGCTCCTGCCCCTTGGGGGCTTCCCCAGCTCTGGGTCCACATCCCTGTTATCTTCCAGGGCCTGTCTAAAATGCCACCTCTGCCAGGAGGCTGTTCCTGATTTCTCACCCCTGGGGAGTGCCTCTCAGTTTCTCCTGGGGCAGTTTCTCCACTTTATCCTGTAATTAGTTCATGTGTTCACTCACTCACTCCATCTTAATCTGATGCCTAGTATACTTCAGGTGCTCTGCTTGGTGCCGGGGAATACAAGTATAAACAGGGCCTCAGCTCTTCCAGTAGGGGCGCTAGACAATAAAGAAATGGACAAACCAGTAAATAAGATCATTACAAGTTGTGCTGGGACAGAAATGAACAGGGTGAAGTGATTAGGAGTGGGACGTGGACCTGCCTGGGACTGTGGTCAAGAAGGCCTCCTGAGTGGGTGACATTGGCTTTAGGAGACCTGAAGTGAAGACAAAGTCACCATGAGCATCTAGCAGAAGACATTCCGGCCAGAGGGACCAGCAAGTGCACAGATCCCAGGGCGTGAATGAGCGTGGATGCTGTTCTAAAAGCAGGTCTGTAGGGCTCAGGGGTGAGGACAGGAGGTGACGGGTCGGCAAGGACAGCAGGGGTCACACTGCGTAGATCTAAGAGACCATAGGGAGGAATCTGGATTTCATTCACAAGTCCTAAATTTGAATAATTTAAGTGTAACAAGAAGCCAGGGGGAGGAAAAGGATCTGATAGACGTTTTTAAAAGGTCATTCTGGCTGCTGAGTGCATGGTGGATTTTAGGGGGAAGCGGGAAAGCATGGGTTGCATGCAGAAGTTCTTGCCATGGTCCAGCAGGGAGACGATACTGGCTTGGACTGGGTGGCAGTAGAATGAAGGGAAGCAGACAGATTTTAGATGTATTTTAGAAGGAGTGCCAACAAACTTATAGCTGTTTTTGAGCTTAGTTAACTCAGCGTCCCTTACTTTTAAAAATTGGGACCCTTTTACTCATTATTTTGTGTGGTTCCCATTTCCTTGTGAGACAGGAAGTGGGCAGGGCACAGCCATTCAAGGAATGATAAAGCAATTAACATCAAAATGGTGGAAGATTCAACCCCCATAGACCTTGAGTCTCAAGATTTGACCTTAGCAGAGCTTGAG